CAAGTGCCACTCCTTTTGTATATTCACTATGACATTTCTCCTCAAAAGCAATGGAGTTGCATTAGGGTTGCACACTGTTGCTTTTGCTACAGCGATGAAAGCCTGCTCCCGGTGGATTTAAATATTTCAGAGAGGTGGAAGGCCAGATTTATACAATAACACCTTTGAATGAAGATAGAACTCCTTTTGGACCTGCAATACCTCCTCTTTTGGCTATCTAACTTCTGGTTTACTTCTGAAAATCATCTCTCCTTTTTTTGAGAGGAGAGAAGTTCACAACTTGCCAGGAAATGGCGCTACCTCACAGGAAACAAAGCCCGAGTAGCACAGGTGTTCTATTCACAGCCCACTCTAAGTCCCAATATATCCTATTAGCACTTGCTCAAAACTCAGCTAGGTTTTATACAAGCCTGTTGTAAGAAAAGCAAAGTCAGCAGTGAAGAGACCTCTGCTCTCCCCAAATACTATAGGTTCTTGAGTCCACCAGACTGCTTCAGGCCATGTGCATTTTGACCTTGGCTGTATAGTAAACTGGCAGCCAGCACAGCATTTTCAGCACAGTTGATGAATTTAACGTATACTGCCTTTAGTAACCAGTTGCGTAGCTCAAATTGAGTAATTTTTCCAACTTTGAATGGTCACTAAATGAACTGTTGTAAGTTGAAGACTATCCATACAAGAATTATATGGGTAGTCTTCAACTTACAACAGTTCATTTAGTGACCATTCAAAGTTACAAAGTTACAATAGGTCAACCTATTTTCCAAAGCACCAGAAGGCAAAACAAAAAACAATGGGAGGAAACTAATCAAGCAGTACTGGTAGAACTAAGGAGAAATTTCCTAACATTGAGAAAAATCAACCAATGGAGCAGCTTGGCTTCAGAAGTTGTGGGTGCTCCATGATTTGAGGCTTTCGAAAAGAGAATGGAGTGGATAATTTAATTTAATTTAATTTAATTTAATTTAATTTCCAATTTATATACCGCCCTTCTCCCTGAGGACTCAGGGCGGTGTACAGCCAAGATAAAAAACATAGAATACAAATATTAAAACATTTAAAAATATATATAAATTTTGGCCCGAAAGTTAAGAATCACAGACTAATTAAAAGAATTTAAAAATTTCTTCTTAAGCCAACCCGGCTTGCTGAAAAAGATGGGTTTTCAGGGAACGACGGAAGGCATTGAGGTCCTGGATTCTTCTTATCTCCGGGGGCAACTGATTCCAGAGGGTAGGTGCCCCCACAGAGAAGGCCCTCCCCCTGGGGGCCACCAGCCTACATTGTTTGGCTGATGGCACCCTGAGGAGGCCCTCTCTGTGGGAGCGCACGGGTCGATGGGAGGTCGTCAGTTGCAGCAGTCGGTCTCGAAGATAGCTAGGCCCTATGCCATGGAGCGCTTTAAAGGTGATAACCAACACCTTGAAGCGCACCCGGAAGACCACTGGGAGCCAGTGCAGCTCGCGCAGGAGCGGTGTTACAAGGGAGCGCCATGTTGCTCCCATCACTACCCGCGCTGCTGCATTCTGGACCAGCTGGAGCCTCCGGGTGCTCTTCAAGGGGAGCCCCATGTAGAGAGCGTTGCAGTAGTCAAGGCGAGAGGTGACGAGGGCGTGAGTGACTGTGCACAAGGAATCCCGATCAAGAAAGGGCCGCAACTGGCGAATCAGGCGAACCTGATAAAAGGTCCCCCTGGTAACAGCCGTCAGATGTTCCTCCAAGGACAGCTGCCTATCCAGGAGGACTCCCAGATTGCGAGCCCTTTCAGTGGGGGCCAAAGACTCGCCCCCAATAGTCAGTGATGGAGTCAACTGACTATATCGGGATGCCGGGAGCCACAGCCACTCAGTCTTGGAAGGGTTGAGCCTGAGCCTGTTCCTCCCCATCCAGATCCGCACAGCCTCCAGGCACTGGGACATCACTTCAAGGGCATAGTTGGGGTGGCCTGGGGTGGAGATGTACAGCTGGGTGTCGTCAGCATACTGGTGGTATCTCACCCCAAAGCCACGGATGATCTCGCCCAGCGGCTTTACATAAATGTTGAACAGAAGGGGCGAGAGAACTGATCCCTGCGGCACTCCACAAATGAGAGGCCTCGAGGTCGACCTCTGCCCCCCTGCCAACACAAACTGCGACCGGTCGGAGAGAAAGGAGGAGAACCACCGCAACACAGTGCCTCCCACCACCAACTCTTCCAGCCGGTGCAGCATGATACCATGGTCGATGGTATCAAAAGCCGCTGAGAGATCTAATAGGACCAGAACAGAGGAATAACCCCTGTCCCGAGCCCTCCAGAGATCATCCACCAACGCGACCAATGCCGTTTCCGTGCTGTGCCCAGACCTGAAACCCGACCTGAATAAACATATCTAAGCATATGTTTAAACATATAAACATATATATGTTTAAACATATAAACAGACCTGAAACCCGACCTGAATAAACATTTATCTAAAATGGTATAAGGTCTCCTGCTTAAGCAGGTGGTTGGATTAGAAGATCTCCAAGGATCCTTCCAACTCTATTATTCTATGTCCTGTGTATGTATGCTCTATATCTGAAAACAGAAAGAAGTCATCAAAGTTTTTGAATATGTTGCTAAAAATGCAGTCATTATACAAGAGCCTTGATAGTACAGTGGTTTAGTGCACCCTGTTATTAAGACCAGCTGCCTGCAATTACTGCAGGTTCGAATCTCGCCAGGCTTAAGGTTGACTCAGCCTTCCATCCTCTCTAAGGTAGGTAAATTGAGGACCCAGTTTGTGGGGGCAATAAGCTGACTTTGTATAAATATACAAAAGAATGAAGGCTATTGCTTAACGCACTGTAAGCCGCCCTGAGTCTCGGCATATAAATCAAATTAAAAAAAATATATATGCAATACCAGTGATACAATTTTTTTTTCTGAACTGAGGACTGCTTTTAAATAACCACACCAGAAGTCAGTGAAAAAAAAAATAGATGATCTGGGAAAAGTTACACTTTTAAATTAAATCCTCTCTAACACCAGCTTCAATTTGTTTGTGTCTTCTTCTGGATACATTTCATCATTGACTTTTTTCTGAGAATATCTATAGGACTGAAATATGATGATCCCAGAGTAATCTGGGATCATGAAATTCTTGTTGGAAGCCAACCCTTTTTTTAAGTTAACAGAATACCTGACAAAATAAAATGACACAGCATTGGACACACTGAGACTCATGGGCACTGGGTCATTACTAATCTCTGAGGTAAACAAACCATACACCTACGTATCAGCCTCCTCCAAAAGCTAAGGATGATTCCCCTCTCATCCATTGCATTATCAATGGAACTAAACCATCTCCATTCTGCTTATAGTTTCTTTTCCAACACTGCCATATTGTGACAGGCACTCTCTATTCCTTCTCCCCATGAAGGTCCCACAGTCAAAGCTGATATACAAATATCAACAGAATCGCCAGAAATGTTATCCCCTCCCTTCCACCTAATAGTAAAAGCTTAACTTTATGTTATATTCAACATGCATGGCATAAACGTGTACTTTTAACAAAATGCTACAATGAGGTGGAATAATTTATTGTGGGATCAGAGGACAGAGAGAAGGTACATTTAATCCTCCCGTTCCAAATTAGTTAATGGAAATAAAGTTTCCATTACATTTCCATATGTAATGGAATATCCATATGAAAATCAGTGCCCCTGCACTTATTTCTTGAACGCACATTCCACTTTCCAAAAATGGTGCATTTAATGTTATGTACAGCATAACTTCAAAAACCTTTTCAGAGAGGAAGTAACGTTCGAATTAATTCTTATATGAAAAATACAGTCAATTTGGTGATAAGTTTTCTTGACAATCCAGAAATGGTCTGGGTCATATTTTCAACTCTTCTTACTCATCTCTATCCCTGCAAGAGCTATTAATTCTCTGGGCTTCCATTCTTAATCAGGGCATCTTATTTCCAGAGGTGGCTGAGGGGGGCAGGTAGGGAGTCTGTGCCCAAGCTAGAGCCCTGATCTCCCAGGCTACCTTCCACTGAGTTCCATGCAAGTTACACTTGGAAATGCTACCCATGGAACTGGGCCATTTGGCCAACACTCATGCCTATTATTAGTAGGGGCAACTTTTGGAAGAGTCTTTAGGATGTGCTAGATGCCTTGGAGTACAGTTATTACGCCTGTCCTAAAGGCAACCCTGGGGAACTTTGGAAAGTGGGAGGTGCTTATGATCAAACATCCCAAAGTAAAATTTCTAAAATGCTTTGATGTAAAGGAAGTTTGGAAACTATAATAAACTATAATAAAGAGAACCCTTTGGGACATCTACAGGAATACATAGTAACTCAATGTTCCATCTTTCGGTTCAGTAAGGCAGCTCAAAGCAGCTAACAACACTGGTCAAAAGTTGAGATCAAAATATAAGGCAATAGTGAGTGTTGTCAACAAGGCAGATTCATTGCCTTCTTAACAAAAGTAAAGTATTGGAGAGAAGCTTCCAAAAAAGCTCCTTGGTTCTAGATGAAAAGAATGAGTCTTACATAGGAAAGCAAAGGTGAGTTGTCCTGAGCGACAGTCAGTTCAGAGTGGCTACTTAATCACAAGGCTATTTTGCTACCCGGGAAGATGAGATTCCCAGCCCTTGACCTGCCCTGCTGAACAGCAAGTCGCTGAGGAACTCTGATGGCAATCTACGTCCTTCCCAAGAAATTCTGAGCAGGGCTGCTGCAAGAAAAGCAAAATTAGCGTTTAAAGCAGCCGGCCTGCAAGAAGCCAAGGGCCTGGCTCTCTGTGGAGGGCATTCCTCCCATCTCAACCCATCTGTCCAGCCAAAGTCTTGCTTATCGGCAGCAAGAGAGATGGTCCACTGGTCCAGAGAGAAGGGAGGGAGGCACAGCTGAAGAGTCCCAATAGGCCGACCAGCTGTTGCACCCAAAGCCGGGGACAAGCCCAAGGGGGTCCGGCTGCAGGGGAAGGTTTCTGGGTCCCCCCCTCCCCCTGTTCCCCGGCCTCCCTACCTTGCAGTCTCTGAGGCAGGAGCGCACAGAGTAATCCTCGGCCTGCAGGTATTTCTCCAGCAGAAGCTCGAACTCCTCGTATTTTTCCTGAGCGTGTTGGTCCAGCCTTTGATACGCCTCCAGGCAGCTGGTGCAGGCCTCCCCGCGCCGGGCTCCCGCAGCAGCAGACAGGAAATCCATCAGCAGGTTGGACAAGCTGCAGTCCAGGCTCTCCGGGCCGGCCATGCCGAGCAGCAAGTCCCAGGCCGTGTAAGCGTCACAAAAAGGGAGGCGAAAGGTCCGAAAGTGGCCCTCCAGGAAGTCCAGCTGGGGAGAGGCGAGGGCGGCGGCGGCGGCGGCGGCGAGGGCGGCGGCCGCGGGCAGCCGGAGAGGCACGGCGGCGAAGGCGGCCAGGGAGCCCTGCTGGAAGAGGCGCCGCTGGGAGCAGGCCGAGCCAGGTCCGGGCGCGGGGGCGCGGCGGCGGCGGCGGCGGCGCAGTGCGGGGGGGCCGGCGGGGCGGGGCCCTCGGCGCTCCGGTTGCGCGGCCCTCCGAGCAGGGCGGCCTCGGGCGCCGCCATGGCCGAGCTCCTGGCCTCAGCTCGGAGCCGCGTGCCGGCGGCGGCGCCGCAGAGCCACAGGCGGTCGGAGAGGAGGACGGCGAAGAAGAGCAGCGAGCCCAGCGACAAACGCCATTTCTGCGCCCGCTCCGAGTCGGCGCACGGCTTCTCGGGCTGGCCCGGCTGGCCCAGGCGGGCGGCTAGGGCGGCGGCGGCGGCGGCGGCGGCATGTTCCCGTGGCTGCATCCAAGCGCCGCTGGTCATATTTTTCGGGGGCGGCGCGGAGACGGGCGGGGGGCGGCGGCGGGCGGCGGGGGGGCTCCCGGGCTCCGCCGCTCCTCCGGCCGCCCCCTCCGCGAGCAGAATGTCACCTGCCGCCGCCGCCGCCCGGGCCCGCTGGGAAGGGGAGGGGCGGCCCCATGGCGGCTCGCGACCAGAGCCCGCCGGCCCCGCCCGCCGCTCCTCCACCGCCGCTGAGCCCCGCGCGGACGCCCCCAGCCTCCCCCCGCGAGGCCGCTAAGGGCTGCCGAGGGCCGGCGCATGGTGCTGCGCCGCCGCGGCGCTTCTCAGCATGGCCAGCCCTGGCGGGAGGAGGCCGCCCCGCGCCGTCCCGGCATCCCCCCTCCTCCCCCGGGCGCCCCGGCTGCTCGGTCCGGCGCTCCGGCTCACCGCTTGGCCCGCTTCATCTTCCGTCGCGACGGGCCCGCCTGGCTCCCTCCCTCCCCCCGCCCGCCTGCCTGCCTGCCTCGGCCTTCCCCCTCCCGCCCTGCGCAGCGGGCAGCCTCACTCGCCTTTCCTCCTGCGCTTCAGGCCACTCCGGAGCGCCCGGGCGCGGCGGCCAGGCCCGTCCATCTCCCCCTCCCGCGCCCGCCGCTCGCCTTAGGCCGTCGCCATCTTCAGCCGGGCAGGGAACACCTTGAGAAATCGATCGGGTCGGAAAGGAGGGGGCGGCCAGAGGCGGGGGCGCATGCGCGCTCCGCTCCGCACCCGGGGAACACTTCCTTCGCCCGGCGCCCCTGCCTTCGCCACAGCGCCCCGAAGCCGCGGCCGCCATGCGGGACTTCCCTCCGGCCGCCGCGGCCCTGGGAGCCCGGGCGGCCGGCGTCGGGGCGGGCTGAGCGGGCGGCTTCCCGACCGCAGCTCTCCTCGCCCGTCCCCGAGCGGCAGCGGAGCGCGGCCGCCCCCCGGCCTTCCCGGCTGGCCGTGGTGCTGAAGGACAGCTCCCGAACGGCTGAGGATCGCGGAGCGCCGCCCGGCTTCTTCGGGAGCGCTTAGGAGCGCGGCGCTGGTTGCGAGGCGCGGAGGGGACGTCCCGCGATAGCTAGGAGGGGCGACGGCGGCTGAGGCTGGTGAGCAGCCCACGAGGCTGACGGCGCCTCCAAAGCCTCATTGGCTTCCTCCGTGTTTTCCCGCGGCTGCGAGCGGTGATTTGTGCGGAGGGTTTAAGGCAGCGCCCCGAGGCGATGCGCCTCTTGGCTGCCTCCTCCCTCTTCGGCCCACCGCCTCCGCCCTCCACCGATCCCGTCCAGGAAGACCTCGGCCAAGACCGGAGGGCTCGCACAAAGGAAGGAGAGCCAGGAGCTTCAGCGGCTGTCCCTAAACCCGACTCTACTGGCAACTGTCATTCCATCCTCAACCTGAAACCTCTGGAGGAAATCGGTCGTTAATACCTGTTCCACCTTTCAGGTGCATAGATAATGCGGAGGCATCGCTGGTCTTTCTTTGCGATGACCTTTGGCGGAGCTGCAACAAGAGTAGAACTAAAAGAATTGCAGACTAACAGATTTGGAAGGGACCTTGAAGGTCTTCTAGTCCAACCTTCCTGCTTAAGCAGGAGACCCCGAATCATTCTGGACAAATGCCTGTCCAATCTCTTCTTATAACCCTGCAGTGATGGAGCACCGACAACCTCTGAAACCAAGCCATTGCACTGGTTCGTTGTGCTCACTGACAGAAAAAATCTCCTTAATTCTAGGTTGGATCTCTCTCTCTTTGATAAGTTTCCATCTGTTACTTCTTGTTCTGCCCTCAGGTGCTTTGGAGAATAGGTTGACCCCCTCTTCTTTGTAATATTTCCTTAAGTATTGGAAGACTGCTATCATGTCACCGCTAGTCCTTCTCTTTCTTTGACTAGAGTGCATACCCATGTGCAGATGTAGTCCATCTGGTCCTGTGATTTAAACTTATCTAGAGTGGATAGGTGTTCTCTTACAATTTTCTTGCCAATTTTGATTTATATTCCTAATCTATCTTTTATGGTGCTGCTTTTGGTAGATTGAGCTATTTTTTTCCTTTTGCATGAAGAGAGATAGAAAGATTGAATAGCAGTTCTGCTTTCTCCCTGCTGTCTATCACCTCCTTACCATTTTCTCCCAATAGTGGATCAATCATTTACTTGGGGTTTTTTTTCTTATTTTTTACAACCATCCTGGTTCCTTTTTTTAATGTCAGCAATTTTTGGTACCATTTACCATGGTACCTTGCTGGATGTCAGTTATGATTAGGAATAAACAGTATCTTGTCTTAATTAGAGAATGTTTAAGCACCACCAAGACTAATGTGGACAGAAGGCTGCAAGTTACAGCCCAACAGTCAAACTCATCTGACAAATAGAACTCTAATCATAACAATATTCTTTCTGAATATTTTAATGGCTGCCAACTGGACTCTGGTAACTTTGCAAAATATGCTCATTTATATTCATGCATGCATATTGTGTATGAACTGGACATCGTGCAGAATTGTTTGACCTGAACCAAGATTATGTGAAAACAAATTTGATATTTCAAAGGAATGCCAGTGTGCATGCACTCAAAATGTAGTGTGTACCTTTTATCAATCTTTGACACAGCTCAATGGAAGACCATGTAGTACAGGGGTGAAATCCAGCAGGTTCTAGAGAACCGGTAGTGGAAATTTTGAGTAGATCAAAGAACCAGCAAATACCACTTCTGGCTGGCCCCCAAGTGGGGTGGGAATGGAGATTTTGCAACATCCTTCCCTGGAGTGGGGTGGGAATGGAGATTTTGTAGTATCCTTCCCCTGTCACTCACCAAGCCACACCCACAGAACCAGTAGTAAAAAAATTTGGATTTCACCACTGATCTAGTAGGCGTTGGATATTGCCAATATCCAAAGATCTGAATAGAAATGGACCCAGAACACCAAATGCTTTGGGTGTTTTCTTTGTGATAGTCCTGAAATGTAAGCCAATGATCAATGATTATCAGGACTGAGGACTCAACTGCCTAGGCCTCTCCCAAATACTGTACATAGTGAACCTGAAACCTGAAATTAAGACTTTTCAATTCATTTATCCCTTCTCTGATATATTTACTTTATAGCACTTCAGGAATGCCACCTAGATTTGCTTTGGATAGTGAGATGGGCAGCAGCTAGATATAGATAGATAGATAGATAGATAGATAGATAGATAGATAGATAGATAGATAAAGATTTAAGAACATTGACAGCTACTGGTATATGTTTATAGACTCCTTCCTGCACAGCTGGTAAAGAGTGATGATTACTAACCATTCAGAAATGATGAAGGAATGAAAAAGTGATCTACTGCCCAAATGAGCTTTTTCCTGCTTATGTGAATGTGGAGATTGGGCACAAGAGAAGGTGAGTGGTTAGGACTAGGACAGGATGTTTTCTTTCCTCCGGGCTTACTACCTCTTGAGAGCCATCACTGATGCGTTCCTTGCCTTCTGCAGTGACATCACTTTTCATCATCAGGTTCTACTCTGAAAATTCTCTTTGCATCTCAGAACGTCCCAGGTTACCATGGAGACAGACACAAGACCTTTGAAATGATTCAAGGTTTACTGACCACTCTTTACCAGATGCTCAGTTAGCAGGCTAGAATCAGTTTCTTCCATCCTTTGAAATATACTTTATCTATTATGGGAGGTAGGAATTGGGCCATCTCACTCTTTAAGGGAATCCCTGGTTTCTCCAGAAAACTCATTCAGTGGCAAATAGTTGCATTACACAGGCAAAGTCTTAGGGAAAGGCAAAGTCTTGGGGAAGGGACCATAAAAGAGAAGGAGATGGAAACTATGATGGTGTTGCTTAAACTTTCGGCTTCATTGTTAGCATTTTATAAGGTGATATTGACACTTCTAACATGGCAGTCCGGAAAGGAAATCAAAAGAAAACCAATGAGGGGAGCCTTTGTGAAATATTTGACTTATTTTTATTGGATGTGCTCATATCTTTGATACTTTGTTCAGTGGAGTTTTATATCTGCTGCCAATAGATATTTCTCAAAGTATTTTTTGATAGACTTAAATTTTTAATTTTGTTTCTTCATCACATCTCAAGTTTAGCAGGGGGACTGATGGGACAGAGAGGGGAAAGAAATAGGCATTGCAAGCAGTGATGGTATTCAAATTTTTTTTCCTACCGGTTCTGTGGGTGTGGCTTGCTGGGGGGGGTCACTGACTGAGTGGGCATGGCTAATGTGACATCGCTCATGTCCATGCCTATTCAGTTACATGACCCCCCCAAGCCACGCCCACAGAACCCATTAGGAAAAAAAATTGAATTTCTACCTATCTACCTATTTTCTGCCCAGGCCTGGCCTAATCTGTCAAATGCCTCCTCCTGCATGCCGCCCACTCTCCCTTCCTCAGTCCTTTCTGCTCCTTCAGAGGCCCTGGCCGTAGCCCCGCTTCTCCCCCACAACCGCCTCTTTCTTCAGCCTTACCTTCCTCCCCGCAGCAGCTGGTCCGGACTTTACTTTATTTTACTTTTATTTAATTTGTATACCGCCCTACCCCCGAAGGACTCAGGGCGGTGAACAGCCAACAATAAAATACATACATACAAAATTTAAAAAGCAGAAATAAAATCGAATTAAATAGTTTGGCCCAGACAGATTTCACCCCTGCCACTGTTCTGTATATAGTAGAACCACACTCTCTGGAACTTGCTAAAAATGCTTGAAGCCACCAGGTTCGCTCACTCCTTACTCTTTACCATGCTAGTTTTTAATGATTTATTGTTCTTTGAAATCCTGGATGCCCTTAATAGATGTTTCAAGCCATTTCTGAGTATCTAGATGGGGTGCTTCAGGTCCTTCCGCTGTCGACAGTCATGTCAGGAGCACAAAAGCATTTCCACATTGAAAGAATTAGACAGTGACATCAATGTTGCCCAGGGGACAATCAATTGGGGATTACTTCATGTCCCCATTAAGCTGCCCACCAAAGTGGTAACCATCTATCTACTCACGGTGCCCGCTTTCGAACTGTTGGGTTGGCAGGAACAGGAGCAAAGTGATGGGACCTTACCCTGTCTGTAGTAGCAACTGGGTCTCGAACGTGAGCCTGAAAATCATCATACCAGTGTCCTAACCACATGAGCCATTTCACTCCTTTTCTTCAAGGTTATTTAAGGTGGTTCAAGCCATATTTTGGCATCTTTTTTCAGGTTCTACCTTCTCCAGGTTTCCCAAGGATTCTTGAAGCCATTTTTTCAGAACTGGTCTGGGTTCTTCAGATGATAAGAGGCTTTCTAGAGATCTTTGAAGCCATTTCCATCGGTCTTTCATAACAATGATACTTGGTTCTCAAACCAGCCATTACTTAGGGTATCTCAAACCTCTACTTTAGGCTTTGGTAGATCATTTAATACATGCTTTAAGCCATTCCTGAATTCCTAGATGGGGCGGTTTTGGTCCTTCCCCTTTGAGGTTCATTATAATATATCTCAAGCCATTTTTTGTAATCTTGTTTAGAAGCTTCAAGACCTTTCTGGTCTGGGTTTTTCACTGAATCTGGAAGCCCTTTTTCCAGAACTGGTGAAGATTCAGTAGAAGATGAGAGGCTTTCTAAGGATGCTTGAAGCCACTGTAATGCAGCAGGTGATGGAGCTGGTGGAAAATCCAATTGTTCAGCTAAGTGCATCTGCTGGAGCATCTGTTACATCCAATTTTGGTCACCACAATATAAAAAAGATATTGAGATTCTGGAAAGATTGCAGAAAAAAGATGATTAGGAGGCTGGACGCTAAAACGTATGAAGAACAGTTGCAGGAATGAGGCATGTCTAGTCCAGTGAAAAGGAAGACCAGGGGGAACAGGATAGCAGTGTTCCAATATTTGAGGGGCTGCCACAGAGAGGAGGGGGTCAAGCCAGGGGTGAAATCTAGCAGGTTCTGACAGGTTCTGGAGAACCGGTAGCGGAAATTTTGAGTACCACCTCTGGCGGTGGGAATGGAGATTTTGCAATATCCTTCCCCTGCCACGCCCACCAAGCCACACCCACCAAGCTACACCACACCCACCAAGCCACACCCGCAGAACCAATAGTAAAAAAATTGGATTTCATCACTGGGTCAAGCTATTTTCCAAAGCACCCCAAGGATGAAAACTAATCAAGGACAGAAGCAACCTAGAACTAAGGAGAAATTTCCTAACACTGAGAACAATTAACCAGTGAACGGCTTCCCTCCAGAAGTTGTGGGGGCTCCATCACGGGAGGTTTTTCAGAAGAGAGTGGACAGACATTTGTCCGAAATGGTATAGGGTCTCCTGCTTGTGCAGGGGGTTGGACTAGAAGACCTTCAAGGTCCCTTCCAATTCTGTTATTCTGTTATTTCTTTTCATTAATATCCAAAGAGTTATAAAATTAGGATTAAGTCAAATGACAATAGCCTAACATATTCATTAAACTGCAACAACTTTGTGTAAAAACCACAAACTTGTCCCCTTCGAGGCATGTGTGGACTTCAACATTCATCATTCTCTCTTGCTGGGGAATTCTGGGAGTTGAAGTCCACTCATGCCTTAAAGCAGGGCTGCCAAACTCCTGGCCCTGGCCCGGATGCGTTATGTGCTGGCCACGCCCACGCCCAGTTTAGCAAAGTGGGAAAAAGTCCTGATACGTCAGATGACGACGCCATGACAACATGAGTGTCAGCACTTCAAGCTGCATTTACTCTAGTGCTGACATAAGAGAAGAGGAGGCATCTGGAAAGGGACATTTGACTTTTCACCTACTTATTTTCCCTGGAGATAATATCCCCTAGGAGATGGGATGGGAGGGGGGAAATTCCTTTGAGCTGGAGCAGTAGATTAGGGATAGAGTGACTTTGAAGATGGCCAATGAGTGCAGAGGAGTGGGGAAAGGAAAGGGAGGGTTTTGGGTCAGGAAGTCAGTGTTGGCTGCGATGGAGTCGGAGTTAGAATGTCGTGCTTAATAAATGGGAGTTTTTGATCAAAGGCTTTGTTTGAAATGCAATTTATTTGAGACGACCTCGAAACCTGACAATGAGTTTGACACCCCTGCCTTAAAGTATCTCTCTTCAAACAATCCTGACTTCCCATTTGATTCCGAGTCCAATTCAAGGCAAATTAATCCATCAAAACCCTCCAAAGGAGTCAGCGTCAGATATCTATCAATCTGCTCATCTCTGGCACTGCTAAGGTCTTTCTGATAACAGGAAAAGGTGGTGATCATTTGAAATATGATGGGACTCCCACCCCCCAAGTACTTACAAGTCCCATCTTGGGGATGAAAACCAGGTGGGTGACCTTGAACCAGTCCTTCTCTCAGCCTTCGCCTACCTCACAAGGTTGTTGTTGTGGGGATGAAGGAGTCTGAGGTATGTTCACCGCCTTGAGCTATTTAGAAAAATAATAAAGGTGAGTTAAAAATCTAATTAATAAAAATCAAAATAAATAAATATTTCAGTCACCAGGCTGAGTGTGTTGGGAAATAACTATAGCTGGCCAACTGAGTCCCTTTTTAGGTTAATTTCTCCAAATCATTGAGCCAGGTCAATTTCTACATTTGTGGTCACAATGCCAACTGGGACATCCTGAGGTAATTTTTTGGTTCCTAATCTTGCAGATTTTTCCTAGCAGAGATCATTGCCGCCTGCCAGCTGGCACCAACCCCTTTTCAGAGAAATGATGGATGGGGATTTTGGTCAAAGTTATGCAGGTTGTTGATGTGGCAGGTATGAGCACTTTTGTTGTCTGGGATTGAACCTCACTTTTCTCATCTCTCTCCCCCACCCCCGAATTCTGCCTAACGGAAACTTTCTCTTTCTTCTGAAATGCCCAAATGAGGGAGATCCTCTTGATACCCACAGTGCCAGCACTGTCAGCTGCCCAATCCAGTCGCTTTCAAGAATTTTGAGTAGAGGCTCCCAGCACTGAGTGACCGGCCAATGCCTGAAAAATCTCTTAATTACAGAGGCTGCGCTACTGCAAGGGATCCAACTGTAGACCCCTAGGGCTCCAGGTAGCCCTCAACTTATGACCACGATAAGTACCAGACTTTCCTTTGCCAAGTGAGGAGGTTGTTTGGTGAGTCACACCCATTTTTTTCAGCTTTTGTGCCACCGTTGCTAAAGAAATCATTTCAGTTGTGAACTGGGGCTTCTCTGCAGCGGTGCCTTTAGTAACCCGTCCAGATGAGACACTCCCCCCCCCCCGCCCTAGGCGGATTCTGCTCGGCACCGGAAACCCAGCCAAGCAAGGACCCTCTTTGCAGCTCCGGCAAACAGGACCGTTCTTTCCCCCTATCACTCGATTCCTCTCCACCTGGCGCTTGCCCCCCTCGTGCCCTTTCCTACCTCGCTTGGCTCCTCCAAGGCTTTCCTTCATCACCAGCAACCCCACAACCACACGCAAAAGCAACGCACCAGACCCAACCTCCCCCGTCCTCACCAGACAAGCCCCGTGCACCCACAGCCCTTGCCGCTACCCCAGGGCAAAGGGCCGCCTTCCTCCTCCCTTCCCCAATACCCCATCCCCGCAGGGGTCCCTTGCTCCAGGGGCAGCTAGAGAAGCGAAAGCAGCCACGCACCAGCAGGCCCCCCCCAGGAGTGGGTTCTAATTTTTTTTACTACCAGTTCTGTGGGCATGGCTTATTTTGTGGGTGTGGCTTGATGGTCATGTGACAATTCTTTAGGATTTAGCAGAGGTACTGGTCTACCAGGCTTTTAACTGCTTGCAGAGCTGTACCAATCTACCATTTATTTTTTGCAGGCACCGGTCTACTCATGTATTTTTGCAAGCACCATCCTACTCATTTGTTTTCTTTTTACACTGATCAGCTGTAGGGCGGCAGCCCTTTGAAGCCCAGCAGCAAGAGTTTAAATAGTTTTTTCCCTCTAGCCATCAGCTGGGACTCAGGAGGCAGCAATAGATTGGGGGTGGGGCCAAATAAAAGGTAAAAATAACACGGGGGGGGGGGCGCGGGATGGGTGGGGGCGGGGGAGCCCAGAACCGGTTCGGTGATATCGTATCATCACCGCTACCAGTTCAGCGGAACCGGACAGAACCCACCACTGCCCCCCGCCTCCACTTTCGAGTCACTGCCCCGCTGCGCTACCAAACGGCCTTGCCCCCTTGGCAGAGAAGCCGTAACGCACCCCCCCACCTGCGGCCGCTCTTTCACCCTCGGGCGCACGGAGGACACGCCGCCTGCGCAACGCTGCAAACCAACTCCACACACAGCAAGCCTTGTTGCTCTCCCTTTAGCTGCCTTCAAATGACTTCAAATGACATCCTGCCCCCCTCCCCCACTCAGCATTATGTTACCTTTCAGCACTTGGGGTCTAGAAAGACCTGCTTTGTGGTAATAATCTCTCATCCATCCACAGATTGCAAGAAGCTGGTAGATTGGGCTGGGATGAGACTGGACTCCTGGGGGGGGGGGGAGTATTGTTTGAGGACAATATATAGTATGATGCACTGTTTGCTGTTACTGTCATTTTGTTGGTATTTTAAGGCACTGACCCACCCAGGATGTTATACCCCAGATGTGTGTCAGTCTCTTCAATAAATAAGATAAAGAGAAGGTGTTACTTTGTGTGTGATCTCCTGTTCAGAGACAAAATCACATTGCAACTAAGGAGGAATGTGTATTCATTCTAGGGTAGCTGGCTGGGAAGGGGGGGGGGGAGGAATATATCTTCAGCTTTCCTTCTCTTTTGATTGTTTTCTCACTCCAATACATTAACATGAGCCGAGGTGGCGCAGTGGTTAGAGTGCAGTACTGCAGCTACTTCAGCTGACTGCTAGTTCAGCAGATCGAATCTCACCGGCTCAAGGTTGACTCAGCCTTCCATCCTTCCGAGGTGGGTAAAATGAGGACTCAGATTGTGGGGGCAATATGCTAATGCTAATGCAATATGGTAATATGCAATATGCTATATGCTAACTTTGTAAACGCTTAAGAGAGGGCTGTAAAGCACTATGAAGCGGTATAGAAGTCTAACTAATAATAATAATAACAACAATACATCACCCACCCTCAATGCCTGTTGGGACAAAAGGAGACTGGGAAAGGAGACCGCAGGAAGCTGTAGATTGGGGTAGGATGGGTGTGGGAGGAGAATTGTTTAGGTGGCATATTTTTCGATGCCAGGGTGAATGCTGGCACCAACAGGAAGCAGTCTCTTTCTTTTCTCCATTTCTGGGCTGGCCAAGATCCCTCTCCTGCTTCTTTGCAAAGGGTGAATGGGAGCTTCTGGGGGTTCTTCATCAGCCCTCTTTAAGCTGACTCCTGCACCGTCTGCCTGTGGTTGATCACTTCTGCCTCAGACAATAACGAGGTTAGGCTTGGGCTGTAAGAATGCAGCTCTTGCCAAATGCACAGACGGTTTGTGCCTGGATATGTGCAAATCCAGCTAATTTTGGTTGGTTCAGGATTCTTCCCTGGGATTGGGGCCTGCTGCCCAACCACAAGCCTCTTCCAGGAGTGACAGCCAGGAACTGCAGTCACCCTAACCTTTACCAAGGGAGAGCTTAATGAGTGGGCAGTGACTCCAACCTGGGCCCTCCTGCGATTTGTGGTTTTGGCTGCATGTTTTGGCTGCCCATTTGTTTCCCTTGTCTTGGGCGGCAGCTTTAAGATTGGGCTTCTTTCATATTCACCCGGGCATGAAACACTGGGGGGGGGGCAGCTGGGTGGCCAGTGAGGATGGGTGGGGGCTCTCTAGGGAATTCCGTAGAGAAGTTAGTGGGAACATTGTTTAAACCTGGTCTCTCTGTGGTCTTTATACCAGGGGTGAAATCTAATTTTTTTTGCTACAGGTTCTGTGGGCGGGGCTTAGTGAGCGGGGCTTGATGATAAGGTGACTGGGAGGGCGTGGCTTGTTGGTCAGGTGGGCGTGGCCAAGTCAATGTCACTTCTTTGCCCTTTTAAAATCTACAAAACACAACACAACTGGCTCACCCACAATATAAAAGCAGCTGTGCTAGACCCAAAATGGCCCCTGCAACATGCAGGAACCTCACACAGCCACAAAAAGCCCAAAAAAACAACTTTCACACTTTACACACAAAAACTCCACATACAGCTTTGTGAGATTGTGTGTGTTTGTGTAGTTAGAGTGAAACACTACAGAAAAACACTAAATCTCAGAAAGCTGCACAAATATTATTTTATTTTAATTTATTTTTATTTTTATATAAAAGCAGCTAAATTTAAAACTTCCTAAACTTTAAATGGCTAGGTCTAAAAAAAGAACAACTAAAAAAACCCCCAATTAACTATTTTTTTAAAGCTCCCGAAGGGGAAAAAAAACTTACCCAATAGAACAGAGGTCTCCAACCTTGGCAACTTTAAGACTTGTAGACTTCAACTCCCAGAATTCCTCAGCCAGCTTTGGTTTGCTGGCTGAGGAATTCTGGGAGTTGAAGTCCACAACTTCCTGCCTGCTTGATTGCAGGCAGAGAGATTCAGTTGCTTGCTGATGCAATGGATTTGCAGGGATTACAGCAAGGCGTTGCGACCAGCAGCTAAGGTAAGCAAGCTGGGGGGGGGGAGGGGAGGGATTTTGCTACGATTAGCAGATCGTCAGAGTCTTTAAAAGGAAAAAAGTTTTTTTCTTTTACATGGCTCTGGCGATCCAAGCAGAGTTGCCTGATTAGCAGGCAACTCAGCTGGGATCGTCAGAGCTTGGCTGGTCAGAGCCATTTAAAAGGAAAAAAAAGGCTCTGATGATCGCGCGGCTCAGCTGGCAAGGGCAAGGGGGGCGGGGCAGGGATTTTTGCTACTGGTTCTCCGAACTGCCCGCCCGCCATCGCTACCTACTCGCCCGAGCCAGTCCGAACCGGGAGCATTTCACCCCTGCTTTATACCCTATTTGCCAGGAAAGCAGGGTTTAGCTCAGGAAAAGAGGGCTCGCTCCCAGGAGGGATCCTAGCCAGACACTAAAACTACCCAGAAGCTGGAATTGTTTCCTTCGGCTTCGGGCATCACAACTCTGGCCTCTTGGGGAGGACCTGGGTGGCATCGTTGCTCAGGCCACAAGGCTGCTGCTTTTGCTTTGGGGCAGGAGGGTGTGCAAACCCAACCCATCATCCACGGTGGAGCACAGTGTAGCTCAAGGTGCTGCAGGTATAACAGAATAACAAGAGTTGCAAGAGACCTTGGAGGTCATCTAGTCCAACCCCCTGCTCGAGAAGGGGACCCTTCACCATTCCAGACCAGTGGCTGTCCAGTCTCTTCTTGAAGACCTTCAATTGATGAATCCCCCACAACTTCCGAAGGCAACTTCTGCTCCATCGGTTGATTGTTCTCACTGTCAAGAAAATGTCTCCTTATTTCTAGGTTGAATCTCTCTTTGATCAGTTTCCATGCACTGTTAAGAGCCTTGGTGGCGCAGCAGATTAAAGCACTGTTAAGTAGCACCAGCTGCCTGCAATTACTGCGCGTTCAAATCCCACCAGGCTCAAGGTTGACTCAGCCTTCCATCCTTCCGAGGTAGGTAAAATGAGGACCCGGATTGTGGGGGCAATAAGCTGACTTTGTATAAAAAAGAACACCGCTTGGGGGGGGCGAAAGCCCTACTAAGCAGGTATATTCAAAAAGTATGAAGGCTATTGCTTAACGCATTGTAAGCCGCCCTGAGTCTCCGGAGAAGGGCGGCATATATAAATCGAACCAATAAATAAATAAATAAACTGTTCCGGAAAGCAGCCCGCGATCCTCTCCCAGCTGCGCCCTCCCCGCCGGCGCCCGATGATTCCCGCACCTTCCTCGGGAGCAGGGCATGTGAAGGCAGAGCGCGCATGCGCGTCTCCCAGCCGTCTGCGCTGCTCCCTCCAGAGACGGCCTGCCACGCCGCTGCCGGCACTACATTTCCCGTCGCGCCGCGCGCCTGCCTGCCCGCCCGCCTCCAGGCGCCGCAGCCGAGCCCCGAACGAGCGAGCGAGGGAGGGAGGGGGAGGAGGGAACGGGCGCGCCGCCCAGCCCCGCTTAGCCGATCGCCGATCGCCGATGCCGCCGGGCCCGGCCCGCGAGGGGCGCCGCGGCGGGGATGGCGCTGTCCAGGGGGCTGCGGTGCTGCCAGCGGGTCTTCGGCTGGGTGCCCGTCCTCATCATCGCGCTGGTGGTGCTCTGGTCCTACTACGCCTACGTCGTCGAGCTCTGCCTGGGTAGGAGGGCGCAGCGGGCGCGGGGAGCCTCCAGACCCATCATCCCCAGCCTCCCTCCCCCCTCCTCCGGCGCTGTTGGACTACCACTCCCATCCTCCCCGGCCTAGGCTTCCTCAGCCCCTTCCCCACCCCCACCCCCCACCCTCCAATGGTGCTCGGCTACAGCTCCCCCGGCTGCCTTCTGGGGACTGAGGATGATGGGCACGGTAGTCCCAGGCTTCCGGGGACTTTCCTCGCCTGGTTGCCGATGGGGGGGGAGGAATTTGGGGGGGGGGCTAATTCCCAGGTGGGAGGGGCACAACAACCTCCCTCCAGCGCTTCCAAGGGGGGGTCGTGGGGGCGCTGCCCCCTTGCTGTGCCTGGACAGCCCCCCCCCCGAGTCCCCCCATCTCCTGCCCCGGCAGCCCCCCCGAGTCCCCCCCCCACACCCAGGACCCCTTTTCCCCAGGCATCCTCCCCTACAAAGGTCTCCCTCCCGACTTCTCCTCCTTACCTGGCAACAAAGTAGCAACAAAGTAGCAGAGGTTGGGACTCGCTTGCCTTTAAGCCGCCTCCGCCCGCCTTGGTGGGCCAAATCAAGCATTTGGGTGGGGGGGGGGGGCTCTCGGGGGCTTTCTTTCTACACGAGAAGCCGGAGGAGGAGCAGCTGGCTGAGCGCAGGCGGTTGGTTCAGACAGGAAGGGGGGGGGGAACCAGGGGCCTTTTATGCATCCCAACTCGACTGTGTTGTTTCTGTGTCCTATATGTGGATTTATGCATATTTATTTATTCATATTTTTGTCATGTTTAGTGTATACCAGAGGGGGTGATGCTTTTGAGAGCTGCATGCAACGAAATTTCACTTTCATGTATGCCGGTTGGTGTACATTTAAAGTGGCAATAAAGCTATTCTTATGACTTGTGGACTTCAACTCCCAGAATTCCTGAGCCGGCTTTGGTTGAAGTTGAGTTGAAGTCCACAAGTCATTTGAGTTGAAGTTGAGTTGAAGTCCACAAGTCATAAAAGGGCCATGGCTCCCCACCCCTGGCTTCAAGGCCAGACTAGCCTCTCCGGGATCACCTGTGGGAGCATTTGATTCGAGGATGCTGCTCACCCGACTTCGTAACTTCCCCCTCCTTGAACCAATGCAGGGGTTGTGCAATATTGAACCAATATGCACACAACACCGGATTTGCACAGTTAGCGTATCGGGCTGCACTAGTGCCTCAGATATGGGTTGTAAGAAGCGCTTCCAGTATCTTGTGAAAGCTGCACCTCAAAAACAGCTCAGCTTTTTTGTTTCGTTTGTTCCCAGGAGAGTTTGGGGAAAAAAAGGTTGCTGCTGCTTTAAGCATCTCATTTACCTTAAGGCAGTGCTGTGCAAGCTCAGCAATTTTAAGTTGTGTGGACTTCAACTCCCAGAATTCCCCAGTCTGGCTGGAACCAAGTTGGTGGTCTTTAGCGAAGAGACGCTGTGCTGGCATTTGGGCAAAAGCAGGTCTTCCCCACTGTTTTCTGAAGCCTGCCCAGTGCAGTTTGTTTAGGGTGCCATACAGTGGTGAATTCCAATTTTTTTTACTACTGGTTCTGTGGGCGTGGCTTGGTGGGTGTGGCTTGGTGGGCATGGCAGGTGAGGGATACTGTAAAATCTCCATTCCCACCCCACTCTGGGGCCAGCCAGAGGTGGTATTTGCCAGTTCTCCAAACTACTCAAAATTTCCGCTACCAGTTCTCTAGAACCTGTCAGAACCTGCTGGATTTCACCCCTGGTGCCATAATAACCTGGTTATTTACGGGACCGCCTACTACCACCAATAGCCTCCCACCGGCCGGTACGCTCTCATAGAGAGGGGCTCCTCTGGGTGCCGTCGGCCAAACAATGTCGACTGGCGGCCCCCAGGGGGAGAGCCTTCTCTGTGGGGGCACCTACTATCTGGAACGAGCTCCCCCCGGAGATATGGAGGATCCCGGATCTACGCACTTTCCGCCGCGCTCTTAAGACCTTTTTATTCCACCAGGCGGGCCTGGCCTAATCTTTTCCCTCTTTTTAATTACGCAAATTTTAAATTGGTTTTTTAAATGATTGGGGTTTTAATATGTTTTGGGCCAAATTTGTTTAATTCGATTTTACTTTGTTTTTAAATTTTGTATTTATGTATTTTTACTGTTTGGCTGTTCACCGCCCTGAGTCCTTCGGGCGGTATATAAATTAAATAAATAATAATAAATAATAATAATAATATGAACACAGGCAATCCAGGAACTTTCTTACAACAATCTGCTAATGTAGTTCAGTGTGATTTTCAAGAGCATTATACGGAGTGGGTGGATTAAATTTGATTAGAACTTTGTTAAAGCTACTTGGTGAGTTTGGGGCAGGTCCCACTTGGTTCTTAACAACTGGATTCTGCAGCATCTAAAAAGGTTAAAGCATGGCAACTGGACCAAAGTTTATTAAATTGAGACGTTTCATTACTCATCCAAATAACTTCTACAGTCAGAATGAAAAATTTAAGTTAATCAGGGAGTCGTCGGAATGAACTCTTGCCATACCAGCTGCAGGGGTTTCTCCCCAAAATGTATTGCAAATGTAAATGAAGACTCAATCATCCAGGCCAAAAACATCTAAAAAGGTTAAATCATGGCAACTGGATCAAAGTTTATTAAAACTTCTGGAGTCTGCAGTCTCTGTTTAAGCCTTTTACTTCTTATCTTTGGGCCCTTCAAGAGCCCCCCTCCCTACATTTCATCATTCAGGAGAGAAAAGATAGATATCCCCAACCCCTAATCCATTAGAGGTGGGTTTCAGCAGGTTCTGACCAGTTCTGGAAAACCGGTAGTGGAAATTTTGAGTAGTTTGGAGAACCGGTAAATACCACCTCTGACTGGCCTCACCCCCATCTATTCTCTGCCTCCTGAGTCCCAGCTGATTGGGAGGAAATGGGAATTTTGCAGTATGCTTCCCCTGCTACGCTCACCAAGCCACGCCCACCAAGCCATATCATGCCCACCAAACCACGCCCACAGAACCAGTAGTAAAAAAATTTGAAACACACCACTGCCCTAATCCATTAGAAGTGAGTTCTGTAGTTGGGAAGTCTGCAACACAATTCCATCTTCTGTTGTGACTTGTTCCTTTGTGTGGCCTCCTAGATAGACCGGAGCAAAAATCAAAATACTACTAAAGCTCTTAGTTTCCAGAAAATAGCTCACCCATTTATATAAGGACCCTTGTTGGAGAATTGGGAGAGAAGGTAGACTGCAGGGGAGACCTCTTCCTAGCCACTAGCAGGTGAAGCCAGGACTTGAAATCAAGGGTGGGCTTACTAGAGGAACAAAAAGCTATCAGGGAGCTCTAAAGGTAGAAACATCCCTTTCTCTTCAAGATGCCCCTGAGGTTGATGGCACCAGAGAGGACCAATAGTATCAACCATCAGCCAGCCTTCATTTAAGGAAGGAACAGACTTGATGTCAGCACTTCAAGCTGCATTTACTCTAGTGCTGACATAAGAAGAAGCGGAGGCGTCTGGAAAGGGACGTTTGACTTTTCACCTACTTATTTTCCCTGGAGATAATATCCCCTAGGAGATGGGATGGGAGGGGGGAAATTCCTTTGAGCTGGAGCAGTAGATTAGGGGTAGAGTGACTTGGAAGTTGGCCAATGAGTGCAGAGAAGTGGGGAATGGAAAGGGAGGGTTTTGGGTCTGGAAGTCAGTGTTGGCTGCGATGGAGTCGGAGTTAGAATGTCGTGCTTAATAAATGGGAGTTTTTCATCAAAGACTTTGTTTGAAATGCAATTTATTTGAGACGACCTCAAAACCTGACACTTGACTGTAAAATGGTTTCAAAGCAAGTGTCCGAGACACTCCATTTACCCGGGGATTTAATGCAGCTGGTGGTTTTTTAAGACTCCCATAGATCAGGGGTGTCAAACTCAGTTTCATGGAGGGCCGCATCAGGGTTGTGTTTGACCTCGGGGGACCGGGGTGGGCGTGGCCAGCTCGACATCATTCCTGTTGGGGGCACCTGCAATGGCCTGAGTGCTCTGCCAGCGAAATGGACTCCCAAGCTCTGTTTTTGGCTGGCACGGCCTCCTGCAACCCTCTGCCAGTGGAAACGGAGCTCGGGAGTCCATTTTGCTGGCAGAAGCACCGCGGCCAATCCTTCGCTATTTCCAGGGCAGCTCTGCGGACTAGATCTAAGTACCCTGCGGGCCGGATCCGGACCCCAGGCCTTGAGTTTGACACCGCTGCCATAGATTCAGTTAATTAAAACTGAATTTGCATCTTAGAGAGAGAGAAAATCGTTGTTTTAATTTGCCTCCAGTTTTTCCGATTCTGTGTGCATGCACATACATGCCGTCCCAGAAAGGTTTGCCTTGCCGTGCCCATTTTCACTGGCAAACAGCAATGTGGGCAAGCCTGAGCTTTTCTTCATGGGGTGGGGACCTGTAGTCTGCAGAAGTAAAAGCATCTCAGCAGAAGTAACCCATATGATACTCCTGAGGGGTAAGACGAAGGTGCAGCGGTAAGGTTTATTTATTTATTTAAATTTTTATACCGCCCTTCTCCCGAAGGACTCAGGGTGGTGTACAGCCATACTAAAACAACATATACCCATAAAATTTAAAAACAGTTTAAAATATATTAAAAATTTGACCCTTATAGTAAAAAACTACAAACACCCAATTAAAATTCATTTTCTAAGCCAGCCCAGCCTGTTGAAACAATGGAGTCTTAAGGGCACGGCGAAAGGTACGTAGGTCGGGGATCATACGAATCTCCGGGGGCAATTCATTCCAGAGGGCAGGTGCCCCCACAGAGAAGGCTCTCCCCCTGGGAGCCGCCAGTCAACATTGTTTGGCCGACGGCACCCTGAGGAGTCCCTCTCTGTAGGAGTGTATTGGCCGGTGGGAGGCTATCAGTGGCAGAAGGCGATCTCGTAAATACCCAGGTCCTAAGCCATGGAGCTCTTTAAAGATGGTAACCAGCACCTTGAATCGCACCCGGAAGACCAACGGGAGCCAGTGCAGCTTGCACAGGAGAGGTGTTACATGGGTGTGCCGTGTCGCTCCCATAATCACCCACACAGCCCCATTCTGGACCAGTTGGAGCCTCCGAGTGCTCTTCAAGGGGAGCCCCATGTAGAGAGCATTACAGTAGTCCAGACGGGAGGTGACGAGGGCATGAGTGACCGTGCGCAAGGAGTCCCGGTCCAGAAAGGGTCGCAACTGGTGCATCAGGCGAACCTGATAAAAAGCCCCCCTGGCCACAGCCATCATATGATCTTCTAAAGACAGCCGTGCATCCAGGAGGATACCCAAGTTGTGAGCCCTCTCTGAGGGGGCCAAGGTCTCACCCCCAATAGTCAGCGATGGAGCCAGCTGGCTATACCGGGATACCGGAAGCCACAGCCACTCGGTCCTGGAAGGGTTGAGTCTGAGCTTGTTTCTCCCCATCCAGATCCGCACAGCCTCCAGGCACCGGGACATCACGTCAAGGGCATCATTGGGGTGGTCCGGGGTTGCCTCCCAGAAGTGCTTCTTACCTGATACCCAAGCAAGGAATATTAACAGGACTCATAGTAGGGTGCCTGGTGTCCTTCTTTCTTCAGAGCTCAAAAACCTCTCTATTCCAGCCCCACAAAATAAGGCAGAAATTAATAAACGGTTACAGAAAGACAGATTGCTTGAACTTGCTGTCTGCTACAATCATCCTTTCAGATCCTTTCTGTGTGTGTGGGGGGGGGGAAGTGAGGCTGTATTTTGAAGGTTTGGCAGAAGGGATATACAACCTCAGGACCAATGGTAGGGTGAACCAGGGGTGAAATCCAGCAAGTTCTGACAGGTTCTGGAGAACCTGTAGCGGAAATCTTGAGTAGTTCAGAGAACCAGGAGTGTGGTGGGAATGGAGATTTTGCAGTACCCTTCCCCTGCCATACCCACCAAGCCACGCCCACAGAACTGGCAGTAAAAAAAAATTGGATTTCACCACTGGGGTGAACCATTTCAGGAGTTCAAGCCGTCACAGAACAGAGTATTTGGAGATGGTGCTGAACACCAGTAGGACCTCTCGGCAGCTGACTCAGCCGTAGAAAAATTTACAGAATTCTCTTTAACAAGGTTATTGATAAGGTTACTGAAATTTCTGCAACGAGATTGCTTTTATTTTAGAATCATAGAATCCTAGGGCTGGAAGCAGGGTGGATAAAAATCAATGGTTTTTTTTTAAAAATCAAAAAAAAAATCAGATTTTTTTGATTTAAATCGGATTTTTTTTATTTAAATCAGATTTTTTTGATTTTTATCGAATTTATTTTAATAAAAAACTTTTGGGGTAAAAATCTATTGTAAGATAGTTTTCTATTTAAGATACATAAATAATTTAGTTTATTCAGCATGAAATAGAGCTTAGTTATGTAGCACGAGGCTGTATATTCTGCAACACTGGGACTATCAGTGAGTCAACAATGGGTCAAAGGAGTAGCAGAGATGACAGTTGCTCTTTAAAAATTATGATTTAAATCGAGTTGATTTAAATCAGGCCATTTTACTAGTGATTTAAATCATGATTTAAATTGTGATTTAAATCGACTCGATTTAAATCAAATCCACCCTGGCTGGAAGGGACTTTGGAGGTCTTTTAGTCGAACCCCCAGCACAAGGCAGGAGTCCTTATACCATCCTGGACCAAAGGATGTCTAATCTTTTCTGGAAAACCTCCAGCATTGGAGCATCCACAGTTCCCGGATGATCTGTTCCATTGTTCTCACTGTCAAGAAATCCCTCCTTAGTTCCAGGTAGGATCTTTCTTTAAGAATTAGTTTCCACTCATTTCTTCTTGTCCTGTCTCAGTGTGGAAAATAGGTTGAGCCCTCTTCTCTGTGACAGCCCTTCAAGTATTGGAAGACCCCTATCACGTCAGCCCTAAGCCTTCGCTTCATAGACGTACCTAGTCCCCTTAATCAGTCATCGTATGGTTTATCTTGCAGACCTCTTATTTTTTTTTTTAATTTGATTTATATGCCGCCCTTCTCCGGAGACTCAGGGCGGCTTACAATGCGTTAAGCAATAGCCTTCATACTTTTGTATATTTATACAAAGTCAGCTTATTGCCCCCACAAACTGGGTCCTCAATTTACCTACCTTAGAAAGGATGGAAGGCTGAGTCAACCTTGAGCCTGGGGAGATTCGAACTTACAGTAATTGCAGACAGCTGGTGTTAATCACAATGCTATCAGTCTGCTGAGCCACCAGACTGTCTTTGTTGCTCTTCTCTGTACTCTTTCTAGGGCCTCAGTCTTTTCTGTATCGTGGTGACCAGAAGTCACCACGATACAGAAAAGTGTGGCCTCACTAGGGCAGTAAAAAGTGGTACTATCACTTCTCATGATCTAGTACCCAATAGATCTTTCAGTTCTTTAAGGCAGATAATTTTCAAGTTTTTAATAGTCTCTGAACCAAAGAGCGAGCTGCTTACTTCCCAAAACTGAGGCATTTGCAGGTGGCTGTTGTTTTCCCAACCATCTCCTGAATCTCAATTAGGCAGGTGGAGCTCAGTGCTTCCTTCCTCATCGCATTTGTTTTTCTTTTGGCTGCTTCTTTGCATCCAGTTCATTTTTTTTCTACGTGAACCATGCCTGCTACTCCATTATTTTCTTTATTTGGAAATAAAGAAGAGGTGGGCTGATAGGATTAATCACCAACTCCTGTCATTCAGCCATTCGTGGTGCTTTCCATCATTTTTCACAGCAGCCTTCCTGGGTGACTGGTTCAAATTTGAGTCATCTGCATAGCCGTGTATTGAGCAATGCACAGATGTATGGTCTGACTGGGTGTGTTTCATGATGCCCTGTGATTATTCAGGTAAAGCAGAGGTCTTCAAACTTGGCAGCTTTAAGACTTGTGGACTTCAACTCCTGGCTGGAGAATTCTTGGAGTTGAAGTCCACAAGTCTTAAAGCTGCCAAGTTTGAAGACCTCTGAGGTAAAGTTTGAGAATCATCATTGACGTATTTCTGCCCTTTCCTTCAAAAAGAACCTCATTATACTGGCACTCAAGTTCTTAAAGATGTTGGCCACTATTCTGTTTTAATACTCTCCTTAGTCCTTGGGGATCCTTCTTCTCAACTCCTACTTATTGTGAGGATAGAATGTGACCAAATCCACCATGAAAGAACCTGCAGAAAACATTTTTTTTTTGTAAATGTACAATGCTTTCTTCTTTTCCAGTTTAGAAGAAGGATAAAGCCATTTTGCTTGTTAACTGTGTATGTGCTCAGAATGAAGCCACCTTCTTTTGAGGAGAGTAGGACCTGAAAAGCAGCTTTGATTGAGCATGGCATGTGATTTTGGCAGTACAGCAGCTGTGACACAGCAGAAAAGGTTTCTGGCTGCCATCCCCAGATGTATATTCTGGCCTTCCCTTCTTTTACCTCGAAAGATAAGCACTCTTGGAATGAATGGACGCTTAGTCCAACTAAATGTGGACGGGGGTGAATCAAGGGTGAAATCCAGCAGGTTCTAACAGGTTCTGGAGAACCAGTAGCGGAAATGTTAAGTAGTTTGGAGAACCGGCAAATACCACCTCTGGCTGGCCCCAGAGTGGGTGGGAATGGAGATTTTGCAGTATCCTTCCCCTGGTGTAGAGTGGGAATGGAGATTTTACAGTATCCTTCCCCTGGAGTGGAGTGGGAATGGAGATTTTGCAGTATCCTTCCCCTGGTGTGGAATGGGAATGGAGATTTTGCAGTATACTTCCCCTGGTGTGGAGTGGGAATGGAGATTTTGCAGTATACTTCCCCTGGTGTGGAGTGGGAATGGAGATTTTACAGTATCCTTCCCCTGGAGTGGAGTGGGAATGGAGATTTTGCAGTATCCTTCCCCTGGAGTGGAGTGGGAATGGAGATTTTGCAATATCCTTTCCCTGCCACGCCCACCAACCCACGCCCACAGAACCTGTAGGGAAAAATTTTGGATTTCACCCCTGGTGTGAATGTCTTTGTGCTGGTGTAAAAACTCATTCACAGGTAAGCTTAAAGAAGCAGGCACGTAAACAAGTCGGATCGTAGTTGAAGAAGGACCAAAAGATAAATGTGATCGGGGGGGGGGGGGGGGGCGCAAAGCCCTACTAAGCAGGTATATACAAAAGTATGAAGGCTATTGCTAAATACATTGTAAGCCGCCCTGAGTTTCTGGAAAAGGGCGGCATATAAATCGAACCAATAAATAAATCTATAATTACTGCTATTCTTATTTATTAATATCATATACCAAGTATCGTAGCTAATTAAATCAACAGATGTAATCTTTTAAAATCATCCAATTCAGATGGAAAGGAGAGAAGGTCTTAACTTCATTCATGAAAGTCGAAGAAGTGGAAGAGTAGAGTAGAACTTCCAAGGAAGGTTTTAATAAATCTACAGCAGATCAGCAACCAGCTCCAGATCCACAGCTTGAATTCTCCACAAAGCTCTCATCCTTTCCATGAATGAACTTGTTGAAAAAGAATCTTGCTTTAGTCTGGCAAGTTTCTGTCCGTAGGCCAACAATAACAAAGTAATTAGTAACTCCACATGTCGTTCTTGATTCTTTGGGTCTTTCAGTTATAAGGGTAATAAATCAAGTGGATAAGTGAGTATCGGTGCAGTAGTATTAATAATACAATGATTTATGGCCCATAAAGTAAAAATTAATTTCAGACACATGGTCAGCATATGCATAATTGCAAGCATATTTCTTTGTGGAATCCTTGATATGTCATTTGAAGATGTCCTTCCTTTCTCTTTCAGTGACTCTGACAAACTCTGTAGAAAAAGGTACGTGGATATTTATTATATCTGATCTTTATACTTCATTCTGCTCTAGATTGCTTTGCAGCCACCTACAATGATAATCCAGTATGATTATCCCACCATAGACAGAGATAGAAAGGACTCATTGATGGGAGTTTTCCACCAGAAGTGTGGTTGAGGCTCATGGAAATGCAAAGTGTCCCCAGGCCGCCTGCTTAACAGAAGGCCTTGGAAGTCGTGGATGGATGTAGGAGAATCTAAGTTGCACTCAACTAATTAAGGGGACATGCAAGGGAGAATCTGGGCCTTGGGGATCCAGTTTCGAATTGCTTGCTTAGTTTGAGTGATTGATTGATGGATTATTTATTTATTTATTGTTTTGTTTTGCTCTGTTTAATGTATTGGCTACCCATCTTACTACAGGGTAGCTCTGGGTGTCTTACCATAAACATCAGCTCCCCATTTAGGTTACATTCTTAGCAGTTCTGGGCTTGGGAAGGGGTTAGATTCCTTTCCTCCATAGTCCCTTTCTTGATGAAATCCATGTCCTCCCCTTCCCTCTACCCCAGTAGCTTGTGTTTGAAAGGGGTCTCAAACTATATCATTTCCTTTTTGTATTCCTGAGGATACAAAAATGAATGTTGACTGCTGAAGAAGTCAACACTCATAATGTAGGGAGAAATGTATCTTGCTTTCTCGTGGGATGACCGTTTTTTTTTCCTGAAGTGTCTCACTTCCTATCATAAGCATTTTTTCTTCTTCTGTTCAATCGTGTCTGAATCTTGGAGATTGCCTGCACAAGTCTCTGCTGTTTTCTTGGCAAGGTTTTCTCGGAAATGGTTTTCCTTAGCCTCCCGTGTTGGGCTGAGAGAAAGTGACTAGCCCAGCTGGTTTGAGGCCGTGGGTAGGATTAGAACTCATGGTCTCCCCTTGTCCAGCCTGAGGCCTTAACTAGAGGTCCTTCGAAACACAAGACGGGGGGGGGGGCGTATAAATTTAAATAAATAAATAAATCCAGACTCCATGTTGATTCCCCCCAGTCTTTAGCATAGAGGCACTTTGAGAGAGGTTTATGTTGTCTACTGTGAAAGTCAAGGATACTATTAAAGGATTAGCAGCAAAAGGAGCATTTCTGCTTCCTCGGTTAATACTTTTCTTTTTCTTCTTTAGCGGCCTACCTCACTGTATTCCATATCATCTTCATATTCTTCATATGGACGTATTGGAAGTCTATATTTACTCCTCCACTGCAACCGGACAAAAAGGTAAAACTCTGGAATTTTATAAAGAAACTAACCAGTCTTCCTAACCTGGATGCCTTCCGGATGCGTGGCCTTCAACTCCTAGAATTAAAGTTGGTTCATATGTCTGGAGAGAATATAGTCTGGAGAAGGCTGAAATAAAGAAAGGTAATACAGAAGTGGTGTGCTCACCTTTAAGAATAAATAGGCCATCTCATCATAACTTTAGGTCTGCCTTCATGGTCAGAAAGCAAGTGGATCAGTTTGGGGACAGCTACAATTACAGTGGTATCTCGGTACTCATCATTAATTGGTTCTGGGGGGTGCGATGAGTTCCAAAAACGATGAGTACCAAACAGATTTTTCCCATAAGGAATAATGTAGTGAGTCAGAAGGCAGCCGACACTGACAAGTTCTAGCTTATGTGTTGAGTACCAAACAAACGATGAGTACCGGGACAAAATTCTCATGTCAAAATGTGTTGAATACCAAATTTGATGAGTTTCAAAGCAGTTGAGTACCAAAGTACCATTGTGTAAAGCATGGGGTGCTAGAGCCTGAGATAAATTAAATATCTCTACTTCACAATAAAAAGAATACAGTAAAAAAGAGAAATAGTTTAACACAGCAATTTGTTATTGAGGAAGGGAAAAAAATAATAGGACTATAAAAAAATATAATTAAAAATTCTGTGCAACTGTATTACTTAGTGCAGATATTTGGCCATCTGATACAAGTGTGGGGTTATCATCCCTTAAAAAAGTATAAACAACATTCTTATATTTGGAAATTCTTGGGGCGATCAGAGCAGCTCTTGGGGCAACATAGAAAGGGCACCATATGAGGACACGAGCAAGAGTTTCTACTGCCTGGATCCACAAGGGCAAAGTCTCTGTGAATAAGAAGTCCGTGAAATCTCCCCCACCACTAGAGATGATGGGAGGGCAGAAATAATCGGAATGGCTTGGTCAGGTTTTGCTATAGTTTAATTGTGAAATCAGCCATCTTGGTAACCAAGGGGAAAAGGCTGTCATTGGCCTTCAGGAGATACTAGCAGAGGGAAATGGGCAGAGACGTTGAATGTGATTCTACTCACTCTTCTGAACTGACATTAAATCTGCATTTATTATGTTGCCTGGTGTTGTCTGTCAATGATGGAAGGTGGCTTCTTTTTTGGACACACGAAGCACATCTCTGCCTCTGGGCAGCTCCGTTCCTAATGTCAGGCCTGCCACCACTTAAACCTCTAAGTAGTAACGATCCTTGGTTCCATTTGTTGAGAAAAGGTATAGTTTTATTAGAAGTCAAGTCAGCGGTGAAACGTAAAATTTGTTACTATCGGTTCTGTGGGTGTGGCTTTGTGTGTGTGTGGGGGTAATGTGACTGGGTGGGCGTGGCCAACTTTTTTTTTTTACTTTTTTAAAGCATTTTTTTACAACCTATTCGGGCTAATAGGTTGTAAAAAAATGCTTTTAAAAGGTTAAAAAAAAGTCCCTGACGATCACAGCTGTGGCGCGCGATCGTCAGAGCCTTTTTTAAACCTTTTAAAAACAGGAAGTAACAATACCCGAGTGGGCGGAGCCTCGTGCCACCGTCGCTACCGGTTCTCCGAACCGCCTGCCACAATTGCTACCGGATTGCCTGATCTGGTCCAAACCGGGAGCATTTCACCCCAAGTCAAGTATATAGCAGTAGTTCACAGCCAGAAGTTGAGAATCGCAGGCCAAAATCCCTCAGTTCAACTTTTCTGTCCCTTAACTGCCTCCCACTGCTGATTCCCCCCATGACCAATCAGGTTCAAGCAAGATGTTTTCAGAATGGTCACTTCAAAGGCAGCTTCCGCCTTCTCCCGGAAGGCTCAGGAATTCTGGGGGTTGAAGTCCACAGGTCATATAGGGGCCATAGGTCCCCACCTCTGTTCTACAACCGTGTGTGTTTCACTCTTTTCCTTCTACTTCCAGTTCCACATGTCATATGCTGACAAGGAGCGCTATGAGGATGAAGAAAGCCCCGAGGGTCAAAGGCAGATCCTCGCAGAGATGGCACGGAAGTTGCCAGTTTGCACAAGGACAGGGAATGGCGGTGAGTTTCTAAGATGGCTTGGGCAAAGCTCCCCTATGCAGCAACCCATACTGACACCCCCCTTTTGGAGAGCTTTTGGGGTGACAAAGAGCATCATCAAAATCAGCGATGACCAAATGTTTGGCTTTTGTATTAAAGGCGAAGGACCGATAAGGCATTCATTCATTCCAGCTCTTAAAATCAAAATGCAGGCCTAGTGACATCATGACAAGCTTTTCCCTGGCTGCTTTTATCATTTTCACCCTAGCTAAAATTTACACTCTGATTTCTAGATGCTGGTTGGAATTGTAAAACTCGAGGTGGGGTGAATTCAGATCTGGGGAAATTGTCCCTTCTGCCTACTAATTCTGGAAGCTGTAAGCCAAAATATACCTGGAGGGCGCAAGATTGAGAAAAGCTCAGTTCACATAAAAAAATATGGTAGGACCCCCTGAGAAGCTTTACCAAAAAAGCTGGAGGAATTGGACCCACTCCGATATAGGAAATTGACCAAGCATCCTAGAAAAAGGAAGCGTTAAATAACTTCTGTTGTCAAGAAATGACACTGTCCATAAAGTCATCAGCTCAGCCTGAGTGAAGCATGTGTGTCTGTGTCATAATTTCTCCTGCAGCATTCAGCCACCTAAAAAATATAGCTTCCCTCGTTTTATATAAGGCACCACCTATCTTCAAAGTAGCCCTCAAATCGTGCCTTGATCTCACGTTTCTCAAAGTTGGCGACTTTAACATGTATGGACTTCAACTCCCAGAATTCCCAATGCTGGCTGGGAATTCTGGGAGTCGAAGTTCACACATCTTAAAATTACCAAGGTTGAGAAACGTGCCTTGGTCCTTCTAGTAACAAGTTTGTAACACAGAATTTGCACTCGTGCTAATGATTAACTAGGGGCGTTTTTGTCGTGTTCTTTCCAGCCATTCGATTCTGTGACAGATGTCAGCTCATCAAACCTGACCGTTGTCACCATTGCTCGGTTTGCGCTGTGTAAGTTTACTCTTTTCATCCATCAGCAATGCGGCTTGAAGGTTAGCTCAACAATTACGCAGGAATGTTGTTGACTGCACGCATAAAAAGAAATAATTTTGCTTGCTTTACCCATGGTGGCGCAGTGGTTCGAGTGCAGTACTGCAGGCTACTTCGGCTGACTGCCGGCTGACTGCAATTCGGCAGTTCGAATCTCACCAGGCTCAAGGTTGACTCAGCCTTCCATCCTTCTGAGGTCATTAAACTGAGGATCCAGATTGTTGGGGACAAGAGGCTGACTCTGTAAACCGCTTAGAGAAGGCTGGAAAGCACTGTGAAGCAGTATATAAGTCTAAGTGCTCTTACTCTTGATTGTACAACTTGACATATACCAGTTTCCACCCCACCCCCAGAGACCCACTCCTGTCCTCTGTCTGTGTATCTGTCTGTCCCTCCCTCCCTCTCTCATCTCTCGCTCTCTCATCCATCCATCCATCCATCCATCCATTTCTATCATATCTCTCTCTCTCCCCACCTACTTACCTATTTATTTATTTATTTATTTATTTTTAAAATTTTTATACCGCCCCCTATCCCGAAGGACTTGGGGCGGTGAACAGCCAAAATTAAAAAACATACAATATAAACATTAAAATACTATAAAAACAAAATTAAATTTATATTGGCTTCCCCCAATTTAAAACCCCTTACCCATAAAATTCAGCAATTAAAAGATTTTTAACCCAGCCCGGCTTGCTGAAATAAAAAAGTCTTCAGGGCCCGGCGGAAGGTACGGAGGTCCAGGATTAGTCGTATTCCTGGGGGTAGCTCATTCCAGAGGGCGGGTGCCCCCACAGAGAAGGTTCTTCCCTGGGGGGTCGCCAGCCGACATTGCCTGACCGACGGCACCCTGAGGAGGCCCTCTCTGTGGGAGCGTATTGGCCGGTGGGAGGTTATCGGTGGCAGAAGGTGGTCTCGTAAATAACCGGGCCCTAAGCCATGGAGCGCTTTGAAGATGAGAACCTATGTGCACACACACGCTGAAGATTTTAATGAGAATAGTGAAAGCAAATATAAACTAAACTCAGAGAGAGGAAAGTACTGTGTTTCCCCGAAAATAAGACCCTTTCTTACATTTTTTTTGAACCCTGAAATAAGTACTTGGCCTTATTTCCATGTGCTCAAAAGCCCGATTGGGGTTATTATCAGGGGATGTCTTATTTTGGGGGAAATCAGGGTATTAAAAAAAAAAAATAAGTACAAAAAAGAAAGATAAAAGAGGTAAAAAGAAATGCATGAAAAATTGATTTTGGCTGTAAGAAATAATTAATGCCATGTATTGCTAAGTTAACTTTTTAAATTTTCATATAATTCAAGGAAGAAGACTTAAAATAAAAAGAAAGAATAGAGAGAGAGAGAGAAGGGAAGGGAAGAACATTCCGATGTTCTGGGTGAACATTCCAATGTTATTTTTACCTTGCAGGCTTTTCAGGGTTAAAAGGTACAGTTGGACAGTCTGTTTATAATGAAATGCATTGGACCAATGAAACAGTAGCTTTTCTCCAGCCGTTGGAGATTTGGATCTGACTTTGGCACTGACTGGAAAGCAGAGCTTGTTTGCAGGAGGGCAGGCAAAACACGATCACTGGCTGGGTTATGCCTGGACTTGTTAGCTGACGTTAGCCCGGGTGCAAAGTTATGACATGCCATCTTGCAAGGGTTGCCAAATTACAGGCTTGGTTTCATTTCCCTGAAATAGGAAGCAGTTTGTTCTTTCCCAGGAGCAAAATGCCGGTTGCTGTGGCAGATGAGGAATGTATACAAAGAAGGCCTTAGGCCGCAAGTATCCCGGGAGCTCCCGTATACCATAGCTGATCTCCGCTGCCAGATTCACCAGTTTGATCCTCCTAATCTGTCAGAAATGGTGTAGGGGCTCCTGCTTGGCGGGGGGGGGGGCGGGGGGGGTTGGACTAGATGACCTCCAAGGTCCCTTCCAACTCTCTTAATCTGTAATGTCTGCTGCCAGCCTTGCCAGGTGGAGCAGACAGGAAATACAGACAGAAAAGCTAATTCTACTTTATTGTGCAGCTGCATTAACAGAATCTTGCAAGCCTGAAAGTACAATTCTCCTGCTGTTATTTTTATACGGGCAGTCCTCCACTTAACAACAGTTCATTTAATGACCATTTGAAGTTACAACGGTGCTGATGACTTATAACCATTTTCACACTTAATGACCATTGTAGCCTCCCTATGGTCACGTGCTTTACATTCAGATGTTTGATGACTGACTCATATTTATGACGGTTGCAGTATCTCAGGGTGATGGGATCCCCTTTTGCAACCTTCTGACAAGCAAAGTCAGTGGGGAAGCCAGATTCACTTAACAATCATATTACTAATTTAACTGCAGCAATTCACTTCACAAATGTGGCAAGAAAGGTCGTAAAATGGGGCAAAACTCACTTAGCAAATTTCTCACTTAACAACATAAATTTTGGGCTCAATTGTGGTCCTAAATTGAACTACCTGTAGTCTGTTAAGATAAGGAGGGTCCTTCCTGAGCCTGTTCTCCCATCCATTATGTAGCTGTGGGCTCTGCTCCCTTTTATCTGTGGGTTCTCCAAGCAGTATCTCTCCACTCGATCTCCCACCGTCATTCATGTCTCTAGCTTAGAGTCTGCTCCTGCCTCTCATTTCCAGAAGACCTTCTGGGTCTTAGTCAAAATACTGAGTGAGAAAAGGTTGGAAACTGACCCCCTTTGAGGACAAAGAAGACTGTTACGAGATTATCCTGCTGGGTTTGCCAGTCAGAAGGCAGATTCCCCCATCTCACCCTAACCCAATCATTAGCTGTGAATTGTGGTAGGATTGTTGTGCTGAGAAACACAGGAGAAATGGTAGAGTTCGAAGGACTGCAGGCAGGGTTGACTCTCTTTGAAAAATTAGCCTAATGACAGGCTTTTGCTTAGGAAAAGGTGGTGTTCCCTGATGAAACTGATCCCCTGGTAACACCCAAAGGGCCATTTTCCCTTTTCCCTTCCCTGTTCATCCTGCCTCATCATCCTTTGTGATTTTATAAACAAGGGCGTCTGCTTTTGCAGGCACATAATTTCAGTTATGATCACTGCATTGTTTTTGTCCAGCGCCTTCTTTTTAGTTGTGTTCCTTCTGGCAGAGAGGTTCAGGTAGAGATAGAAGTATATACTTGTTGGTGAGAGCAAAATCTCCAGGCTGACTTTGAGCTGAAGGTGGCAACTCTCAGTTTAAAAAGAAGATGGGTGAGCTTGGCATTGCATAGAATTTTTGTGGTTGTTTGTTTTTATCTGTAGGTTATTGAGAGGGTATCGGTGATTATCCCTTCACTAGACTAGACTAGACTAGACTAGACTAGTGTGAAATTTCCGAAAGATGCCCTAATTAATTCATGAGCCATGAGCCAAACTTCAAAAGAAATACAGTCACTTATTAGGAGCCCCATTTCGGCAATATTCAGATGCAATTAGAACAAATCCTACATACATTTACGTTCCCCTATGACCCTGTCTCTCCCCTCCTCCCTGGCCATGTCATAAATCACATTCTCCAATTAACCACTTTGGTTGGCTGTGAAACCCAAAACTCTCCTACTGATTGCGGTAGAAAAGCATCTGTGGAATGTAATTTTAGTTAGGGAAATCAATCAGCTCCATCAGTTCTCTCTCCCTCCTGCTCATGGCAACTTGAAAGCTTTGCAAGTTGACAACTAAGACTAGACTAGACTAGAATAGGAATAGGAATAGGAATAGAATATTCTTTATTGGCGAAGTGTGATTGGACACACGAGGAATTTGTCTCCAGTGCATAAGATCTTAATGTACATACCAACAACAAAGTGATAGGTCATGTATCATAGTTCATAGGTATAATCATTAATCATAATATACAACATATCATAAGGGTAGATAGGAGAAGGTAGTAGAGAAGATGGGAAGGATAATATCAATACAGCCCTACTATATGGGTAAATGAAGTTTATATCTTGACTGCCAGCAATCTTTGCCTGATGCCAGAGCAATTTTCTGCATGGCTTTAAATCTAAGCAAACCACCTTATTCATTCAACTGCTGGTAGCAAACACGGAATCCCTTTTTCAAAGGATAATCGAGACATAAGATACCGCAACCGTGTCCTGTGTTGTACGTGCAATAACAGAAAGCCTCACAAGGGGGCATCATGACCAAAGAGACTTCCTGGGAAATGAAATTGCAACCTGAAAATTTTAGCAATAAATGACATCACCTTTTTAAAAAAAACAAGCAGAATCCTGGTTTATGAGTAATCTAGAAGAGAACAAAGTCTGTGGGTTTTGCTTCTTTTCCCTCTTGTGTGGTTCCTGACATTTTTCTCTTTTTTTAATAGGTGCGTGTTAAAAATGGACCATCATTGCCCATGGTAAGGACTTTTGAGGACCATTTCGTTAATCCACCATATACACATTAAAGTGTTTCAGGGACAGACAGGTGTATCAATTTCTGAAATTGATTGGCTTATTCCACCAACACTGCTTAAAATTCAGAACTCCAACTTTGGTTCAGCTACTCCAATAAACATTCATGCGAAACAACGCACAACCCCAAAATTGTTATGCATAGAAGCGTGCAAAAAGATGCCATGAAATGGCATTCTTGATGCAACACCTTGCATCCTTTCCTCATTGGCTTGAGAAATGTTGACCCAAGCCATTTGTGCTTTTGAACGACCTGCCAAAAGAAAACGGAGTATCACATTGGTGGGTTTACACTATTTCCGTTTCTGCTACTCAGAAAGAAGGACTGGATGTTATATCTCAAGTATAAAAGTGCATTATTAATGTTTGTCCATCCCAAATCTGGGAAGGAGATTCAGAATTTCATATTCTATTAACAGGAATTCTCATTTTACCTCTCTTTGGTACAGGTTCTCCTTATCTTGCTATATTCCCCCCAATATATTTTGGGGGAAATCCACAAATGCATAATAAATGGAACCATGCAATCGTGCCAGGTGTGTTCCAACTACCTGGTTTTTATTTCTTTGACCTTACTCTCCACAAAAATGGAGGCCCAGAATGTCTCCCAATAAGTTTGAACTTGAGGGATTTTGCATAGAGCAAAGCAAGATCTGCCTCTCAAATATTGTTCATAACCTGGAGCCTTGCAGAAAGTTATGACTCTAAAGCAGTGTTTGTCGACCTTGGCAACTTTAAAATGTGTGAACTGCAACAGTAAGGCTGGCTGGGGAATTCTGGGAGTTAGAAGTCCACACATCTTAAAAGTTGCTAAGGTTGAAAAATACTGATTTAGGCATTTCAAATGCTTTCCAAGTTGGAGATAGTTACAATAAGAAAAAATGTAGTTATATATGCAGATATAGTTTATTTTCTATGAATGACTAGATTAAAGATGCAGCAAGAATTACTCGATGAAGGCTAGTATGTACCATGAAATGAAATGAATATTTACAAATTACTGGAAGGAGAAAAGCAGATCTTAACGAAGAAGGGACATGAAGAAAAAAAATTGAAACACTTGTATATTAGCTGGACACTCTAGAGAGGATCGGTCAAGCCCTGGGCACCATTTATTTATTTATTTATTTATTTATTTATTTATTCATTCATTCATTCATTCATTCATTCATTCATTCATTCATTCAATTTATATGCCGCCTTTCTCTGGAGACTCTGGAGTGGCTTACAATGTATTTTAAAAAAAATTATAAAAACATTTAAAAATTAAAACACTAAAACCCATTCACACCATTCATGGCTGGATCTCACAAGATCGCAAGAGCGAGATCAATGGCCCCAGGCCTGCTGGAGGAGCCAGGTTTTCACCGCTTTCCAGAAGGCCAGTAGGGTGGGGATGGTCCGGACCTCAGGAGGTAACTGGTTCCAGAGAGCCGGGACAGCCACAGAGAAGGCCCTCCCCCGTGGGCCCGCCAGCCGGCATTGTTTAGCTGACGGGACACAGAGGAGACCAACTCTGTGGGATCTTACCGGTCGCTGGGAGCTATGTGGTAGAACCATATCCAAGAGTTTGGAGGGCAGTTTAAGCCTTGATCTGAAGTCAGTGTCTGTCTGCTTCTGGGAGAGGCTGGAAGAGGCAGGTACACCTGGGAGAGTGCTGGAGGGAGGGAGGGCATTAGGTGGGCTGGGACTGTGCCCATGGACATAGTCCATGCAGGGACTCTTCTGTGAGCTGGGGGTTGGCATTTGGCTGCATCAGAGAAACGAGGGTGCTTGTTGCTGCTTTTGCTTTTCATAGCATCTTTTCTCCAAATGTATTTTGATTCCACCTTCCTTCTTATTTTTGTCTCTTTTTTCCTCCAGGGTGAACAACTGCATCGGCTTTTCTAACTACAAGTTCTTCCTACTGTTTTTAGCCTATTCTCTGTTGTACTGCACGTTTATTGCAACGACAGTCTTCAAGTATTTCATCAAATTCTGGACAGTAAGTTGGGGGACCTGGTTACTGCTTCCTTTCTGGATGTCATTGGAGTCTGAAATCTTCTGGGGTCAAAACCAGAAAGAGGGGGAACTCCCCCTTTCTGAACATTGTGCAAGGGATTACTACAATCCTAATCTTTGAGAACTGGGGAAATTCATTTCTACTTCAAGCTAGTTTCCTTTTTATTTATCATTAAAATATATAATGGATCATATTCCCCTCTCGTTCAGCTGTTTTGTCTTGTAGTCAGGATTGGTATAACAGAGTTGGAAGGGACTTTGGAGGTCTTCTAGTCCAACTCCCTGCTTAGGCAGGTGTAGGGTTCCCTATACCATTTCAGACAAATGGTTGTTCAATCTCTTCTAAAAAAAACTCCAGTGTTAGAGCACCCACAATTTCTGGAGGCAAGTCGTTCCACTGATTGATTGTTTTCTCTGTCAAGAAATTTCTCCTCAGTTCTAGGTTGCTTCTCTTTTGATAAGTTTCCACACGTTGTTTCTTGTCCTGCCCTCATCTGCTTTGTGGCCAGGGCTTCAGGGTCTCTATGCTGGGGATTTCTGGGAGTTGAAGTCCACGCATCTTAAATTTCCTAAGGTTGAGAAGTAGTACGGGTAGCTTTCAGTTTAGGATCACAATTGAGCTCAACATTTCTGTTGCTAGATGAGACACTTGTTAAGTTAGGAACGTGGTTGTTAAGTGAATGTGGCTTCCCTGTTCATTTTGGTTGTCAGAAGATCACAAAAGAGGATTATGTGACCCCGGGACGCAGCAACTGTCATAAGTACATGCCAGTTGCCAAGCATCCTAATTTTGATCATGTGACTCTGGGAATGATGCAACGGTCATAAGTGAGAAAAATAGTCCTGTCCCTTTTTTCAGTGCCATTGTAATTTTGAAGAGTCACTAAATGAACTGTTGAAAGTTGAGGACTACCTGTATTCTAAAAACGCCCCCCCCCCCAACCATTGCCGCAGAACTCTCTAACTCCCAGCAGCCTTAACCAAAGACCGTCAGGGAGGAAGGCAGGGGGATGTCATTCAGCCACAACTGGAGGGCAACAGATTCCCTCCTGCTGGTCCCTTATGACTGGGAGGGGCATTCCCTGGTCCTCCAAGCTCTGCCGAAGCCAGACTTGCAAAAAAAAAAAAGAACATTTATTTATTTATTTATTTTTGAATTTGTATACCGCCCTTCTCCCTAAGGACTCAGGGCGGTGTACAGCCACGTAAAAACATAGACTACAAATATTAAAATACCATTAAAAGATATATATAGATTTGGCCCCATAATTAAAAACAGTAAAAAACCAATTAAAACATTTAAAAAGTATTAGGCCAGCCCGGCTTGCTGAAAAAAGAAAGTTTTAAGGGCACGGCGGAAGGCACCAAGGTCTTGGATTCTCCTTATCTCTGGGGGCAGCTGATTCCAGAGGGTAGGTGCCCCCACAGAGAAGGCCCTCCCCCTGGGGGCCACCAGTCAACATTGCTTGGCCGATGGCACCCTGAGGAGACCCTCTCTGTGGGAGCGCACGGGTCGATGGGAAATTGTGGGTAGCAGCAGGCGGTCTCGAAGATAACTAGGCCCTATGCCATGGAGCGCTTTAAAGGTGGTAACCAACACCTTGAAGCGCACCCGGAAGACCACTGGGAGCCAGTGCAGCTCACGCAGGAGAGGTGTTGTATGGGAGCGCCAGGTAGCTCCCGTGACTACCCGCGCGGCCGCATTCTGGACCAGTTGGAGCCTCCGGGTGCCCTTCAAGGGGAGCCCCATGTACAGAGCGTTGCAGTAGAACATGCCTGCTCTTTTGACCCTCTCCGGATCTCTCCTTTTATTTTCTTTTGCTTTTCTTTGCAGATGGAGCCAACCAGTGGCCATTCCAGGTTCCATGTCCTCTTTCTTCTTTTTGTGGCAGTCATGTTTTTGGTCAGCCTGTTGTTCCTCTTTGGCTACCACTGCTGGCTCGTCAGTCAAAACAGATCGACTCTAGGTAAGGCGTTCCCCTTCGAGAAGAAAGCTGTGGGCAAGGCAGACTTGCACCAGCCCATTTTGGCCGACCAAACTGATTGATACGCATTCCAGAATCCAAGAATGGCTCCCGTTCCCCATTCTGGGATCCCGGAATCCTTATTCACATGTTTTTTGCTTTATATTTGTTGGTTGTTCATAGAATCATTGGGTCAGAAGGGATTTGGAGGGTCTTTTAGCCCAGCCAAGAATCCAAAGACATGAAACCCTCCAGTGATGGAGCCTCCATGAATCCAGGAGGCCAGCGGTCCCACAGATGAAGAGCTCTCACAGTCCAAAACCGAGTTTCTCAATCTCAACAACTTTTAAGATGTGGGGACTTCAACTCCCAGAATTCCCCAGTGCTGCTTAAAGTTGTTAAGGTCAAGAAGCACTGGTCAGAAACTCCTCCTTAATTCATCGGTTCTTGATCTTATTCCACTGATATTTTTGTTTATGAAAAGGCATTACCAATTTTTTATTACAGTGGGACAACTTAAGACCTTTTGGATCATCCTCATATCAACCTACAAATATTCTCCTTTATTAGTATCAATGGAACAGGCTGCATTCAGAAGTTGTGGGTGCCCCATCACTGGAGGCTTTCAACAAGAGACTGGACAACCATTTGTTTGAAATGCTCAAGCAGGGGGTTGGACTAGAAGACCTTCAAAGTCCCTTCCAAATCTGGTGTTCTATGATCCTCCTTATCTTCCGCAGGAAAGCCTGTTTGACATCTTAAAACACGAGATTGTGAAAACACCGGTTCAGATTCTGTTTTGCTTGCTATAGCCTTCCCTGTGCTGAAACCGCAGGATGGTTTGAGGTGTCAGCTGATTTCTAGCAGGTGCAGCCCCGAAAAATCCTCTCTTATCAGGTTCCGCTTTCCAGCGCCTGAGACAGCCTTCTATTTTGCTGCAGAGGCCTTCTCGGCTCCCGTGTTCTCCGGCGGCCCTGATAAAAACGGATTCAACCTCGGCTTCATCAGAAACTTCCAGCAGGTGTTTGGGGAAGAGAAGAGACTCTGGTTATTCCCGGTGAAGTCCAGGTAAGTAGAAAGCAACCCACCCACCAGCCATGGAGACCGAATTTGAGTTCCTCTTCCCTCGTCTCCCTTCCCCCCAAAGGGAGGTTTGGGGCTGTGTAGGTGGGGAAAGGGGCCCCGGAGCTGTGGGGCAGCAGAAACCTGTCCGGGTGTTCTGCCAATCTTCCTTTTCATTTAAAAAGAGTCAGGGAAAAGCTGGTTGCTGCAAAGCAAAGCACTTTTGTCTTCATGAAAAGAAATCTGCTGGCCTGGCTGGTATTTTCCCCAGGATGCCCTTCTGCCAGGGGATACGAAGGCACAGCGGTTAAAGACGCGGAGCTTGTCAGCTGGAAAGCTGGCAGCCCACATTCGAGACCCGAGTGCCGCACGACAGGGTGAGCTCCCGTCTTCAACTCAAGCTCCTGCCCACCTAGCAGTTGGAAAGCATGCAAATGCGAGTAGATGAATAGGTACCACTTTGTTGGAAAGGTAACAGCATTCCATGCGCCTTGCTGTATAATCATGCCGGTCACATGACCACAGAAATCTCCTCGGACAATGCTGACTAGGAGATGGAGATGAGCATCCCTCCCAGAGCCGGACACGACTGTACAGGGGAAACCTTTATCTTTATCTTTGCCCACCTGCCTAGACAAAGGGCCAAAGTAACCCTATTCAGTGTCTGCGGGTGTGAAAGAAGCGGTCCTGTGCAAACTTCCGGTTTACCTTCTGCTAAATAGCACATTCACAGCCATTTTGTGAATGTACCTGTGAAATGCTTTCAAAATTCCATAGGGGCCCACCAGCCCGAATGGCTTCTTTTTAATGTCCTTCTCTCGGGCCTGGACCTTAGCAACTGTGCTCCCCCACTCACTCACTCACACACACAGGTCAGTGTGGTTTATAGAGAGTTTTATTGATGTTCCCCAGCAGTTCCCTTCATCCGGCCTCAGAATTGTCCAAATAAAGCCAGCCACAAGCAGGCTAAAATTAGTCCACAAGGCAACGGCCAATAGTCCATAAAACAATAGAAAGCTGCTCCAACAAGTAAGTCCACTAAACAAACTTAAAGCCACCAGGCAAAACTAAAAGTACGTCCACGAGAGTTCCCTTGGCAAGAGAAGTTCAGAGTCTCAAAGGTACAAAGTCAAGCAGGAAGCACGAACAAACACACAGCCATAAACCAAACATGTTGTTCCCAGCAACACCTCCCCTCTGCCTGCCATGATAAATAGCTTTCTGGTGCAGCCCTTCAAGATGGATGGGGCCTCCTCCCGAGTAATCTGGCAGATCTCCGTTGCTGTTGTCTTTTCTCTGTCCTGCGTGCTCTTGGATATACCACAGAAGGCAGCTCCTCCCCCTCCTCTTCACTGACCTGCAAACTGTCCCCAGCTGAACTCTATTTCGGTCGGCAGTTCAGAGTCATTAATTAACCCTGTTCCTGACATGACTTCTTGGATTATACTCCTCTGTTTCCGTAAAGATTCTGTCGCATTCATGGTGGAATTGCACTGTTTCCTTGTTAAAGAAGAAGACAAGAATTTCTTGAGGTTTTTTTTTTCTGGTTTAAAGACAACGGCCCTTCCAGAGGCATTATAGAATACATCTTTAGTAACAGCCCTTCCCCTGCTGTTCCTGCTTATGGGCTCAGACTCTGGAGACAGTTTATGGGTTAAATGTCAGGCAAAAACTGCAAGTAGTCCTTGCTTAATGGACAGCTGCTTAATGACCATTCAAAGTTAGAATGGACTTCAAAAAAGTGTCAGGGTTCCCACCGATGCCCTAATTAAATCATGAGCCTCAAGCCAAGCTTCAAAAGAAATCCAGTTATTTATTAGGAGCTTCATGCCGGCACGGACCAGATGGAGCCAACTCTGACCTTAGTTAATTCACGCTTTGCCTCCGACCCTGCTTCCCCCTCCACCCCCAATATGCGTCATCAGCCACATTTCCAACGAAGCAATTTTGTGGGTTGTAAAAGTCACTCCCCTCCGGCCACTGTGGGTTTCCGTGGAGATGACCTCGGCGTATTGGTTGGAATGTGCCTTGTTTTGACTGAGATGCCAGCTCCTCGATGCAGCTGCAAAGTTTGCTTTCCCATCCCCCTTGCCTATGGCAACTCGAGAGCTGGTCAGGGATGCTTTGTGAGTTGACAAAAAGATACTTACGATCCAGCCTCAAAGTTATGACTGCTGACCCCCTCCCAATGTGGTCACCTGATCACATTTTGGGTGCTTGGCAGCCAGTTCACATTTACGACCAGTTGCAGTGTTCCATGGTCATAGGACTGCAATTTGCAACTTTTTTGCTGCTTTCTGGCAGAAACCTACAAAGAACACCTATTGGATATGCTGTATTTGCATAATGATCTCACTATTCACTTAACAGTTGCATTGATTCCTTCATGAAATTACAAGAAAAGTCGTAAAATCGGATCATGTGATGCTGCCTCAATTTACAACTACAACAATTTATGACTAAAATTCCAGGCTCCCTTGTGGTCACAAGTCAGGGGCTGCCTGGTGGTTGTTCATTTGGGGGGGACGTGCCAGAGGCAGGGCAGCAAGTGCAAGGGAGGCCCTTTTGCACAGAGCCAGCAGTTCCCCCCAGTCGTGGGGCTGAGGAGAGGGTGGCCCAACTGCTGTTGACTCACAAGGTAGGAGGAAAACGATCTGGAGCAGGTAAGCAGGCAGACCGACAGATTGACAGGCTGATATCCAGGGCTGCAGTAGGAACACCTTGACTGTCATACAGATAGTCCTCGACTTAAAAGAGTTCGTTTAACGACCATTCAAAGTTACAACGGCCCTGAAAAAAGTGACTTATGGCGGTTTTCCACTCTTATGATGGTTGCAGCATCCCCAAGGTCATGTGATCAAAACTCAGATCTTTGCTGGTTCATATTTATGATAGTTGGAGTGTCCTGAGGAATCATGTGATCCCCTTTGGAGACCACCTGATCAGCAAATTCAGTGGGGAACCAAAATTCACTTAACAACCGTGTTACCAGCTTAACGGCTGCAGTGATTCACTTAACAGCTGTGGCAAGAAAGGTGGGAAAATGGGGAAAACCCCACTTAACAAATATCTCACTTAACAACAGAAATTTTTGGGCTCAATTGCTGTCACAATTTGAGGACTCCCTGTACTTCTCTGCAGAAGAGCAACTAATCTCACTCGGTTAGATGTTGGAGCATCTGAAGGGAAGTTTATGAGCATCGGAAGGGCCTGTTGCTCCTCCATGATGCCTGATGGCAACAAGGCCCAGATCCGTCATTTGCCGGTTGGCTTTTCCTTCTCTCCCTCTCCTGACCTCCGTGCTCTTTTTCTCTCCACAGCCAGGGAGACGGACACTCCTTCCCCATCCGAGCCCAGAGCGAAGCCCAGAATCCCTTGCTGGCAAATGAGGAGCAGTGGGAGGAAGACGGGATGGAAGATGGCAACCAGCACAGTAAGGGCACCCCGGCCTTTGAGGAGCTGCCGCTTGGGATGTAGGATGAGCCGCTGGTGCAGAGAGGAGGAGGAGGGGGCTATCGTGGGGAAGGGGCTCTGGGGCAAAGTGGAGAATTGAGCGAACGGGTGAAAATACTGTTCTGGAAGGTGCACTCGCTCTTATCCAACATTAGAGAGAGAGACACACACACTCAGAAGGTGCGCCTGACTCTCAGCACCACAGATTCCAAGAAAGAATTCGGATAAAGTTCCCAACAGGATTCAGAAGCTCAGAATATCAATGGCTGGCCAACAGGGAGACAAATAGTTCTCTGCCACAACTATTTGTCTCCGCCCCCTGCCTTTTATCCCCAGAGCTAGGGTGGGGCTTCGCTAGCAGCGGTGGCTCTTCCATTCCAAGGACAGGTCCATAGCTTCCCGCTGCTCTCCTCTGCCTTCTGCGCATCCGCTCATCAGACACGGGACCCAGCTGTTCCTCTTCTTCCTCATCAGCCACCTCCAGACCTGGGGGCTATTGCCTCTCCATCTGGGGGCTGATTGACGGCCCAGGCTCCGCCTCCGTCTCTATCCCTGCCAGCTCCATTCCCTCTTTCCCCTCGGAGCTCTCAGGTTGCCTTGACACTGGCCCCGACTCCCACTCCGCTACCTCATCTCATTTGGTAGCCGGAGGGGCTGGCGACTGACAGGCCACATCAACATTTCTCTGTTCCTGATAGCTGGAGAATTCTGGGAATTGAAATCCACACTATCAATCCTGCCCCAACTTGGTCTCTTAAACAAGAGCAACCCTCGACTCCATTTGGTGTGAAAGGTTTACTTTATTAAAGGCCAAGTAGATTATAATACAGCAAAGCCAGAACTGAGGTTCACGTGCCAAACTTTCCCGGTTAACTTTTCCCTGTTTGTCCCTTCCCATTGTTCATCCCTCATTGTCCAATCATAGTCAAATAAGATGTTTTGGGAAAGGTCTCTTCAACTGTAGAGTAGGCGGTACGGAGGTACATGCCTTTCCCAGCTCTCTGACCTTGATGTTGTGTCTCTAGGTACGATGAATCCTTAGTTTTCCCCACTTCCCATCCAGCTCCCTCCCGCCCCCCCATAGTCAATGGCAGACTAGCAGCTAGCAAATGCAAAGCACAACTGTGAGGTGCCAGTTCTGACACACACATCTTAAAGTTGCTAAGGTTGACAAACACTGTTCTGTACATTGGGTGGGGGGAGAAAAAATGGGCATCAGACATCCAAAAGTCATAGGGGTCGGGGGTGGGTGGGAGTCAGCAATCCTAGGCCAGTCATTCTTATGCAGCAGAAACAGAGATGCCCTTCTTACAGCCCCTTCCTCATCATTGAGGCAGATTTAGGGAACAATTGGAGAATAGCTTCCCATTGCATTCTGGGCCAGTTAGTTTTCAAGTAGTTTTCAAGGGTAGCCCCATGTGTAGTCCCATTTGCAGTAGTCAAACCTTGAGTTGACTTCCTGGAGTTATTCATTCAGTTTACATTTGATAGAGATACAAGTTAAGTCTTCTGTGGGCATGCATACATACATGGAACATACTTTGCAAATCACAAAGTATGTTCCATGACCATGTTTCTCCCTGTTCTTCTTGCAAAGGCTTTTGCAGATATCCCCAGTAGTTCCAGTGCAGAGTCCCTTCTTCCCTTTACATTTTGCTTGAAAAGCAGGGTTTTAGGAGATGAAGAGTGCTGCAATCAGTTATTTTAAAAAGTTACTCCTGTTCTCTGCATCCAACTGAAGGCCGCTTTGTTTACCAATCAAGTCCTATTCACCAGGGGACTCGAGAGGTTGCCCTCAAGATCAGATTGATTGCAGGATTGGGGAACGGCTTGTCTTCCTGCTTGGGGTGGGGGTGGGGGGTTAATGGCCCAGCACAGAAGCCTGGCTGAAAGGGGAGCAAAGGGACCAAGCTGTAAATCTCAAGGGCATCTTTGGCAAAGTTTAAGAAAGGCAGGGTAAGGATGCACGTGCCCATACTTACCTAAAGACGTAAACCTTTTGGCTGCAGGCCTTCCAAATAATTTTTTGCCAAATTTGCTTTTGAATGGTTTAAAAGGGAACCGTTATTACACACAGAATTGGGAAGTAATCACAGTAATCGTACCGAATTCTAGTTGCATGCGAAGGACATGCAATCTTCCTATGAGTTTGTAGAGTGTGGTCTCCAGCAGGCCATTCCAAACCAAATAGACCCCCACCCTACCCCAGCCTAGGAAAATTGGGCTCCACAACTACTGGGAAGACAACTCTGAAGGAAGAGCAATCTCTGGCTGACTGAGTGGGCTTGTTTTCTTTGTCTGTCCAGATTACCAGTCACGGACTTCTCTTTCCATCGAAATGGAGACGTAGCAGCTTTGAAGAGCTGAGTTGTGCAACTCATGAGCTCTGGTAAGTGTTTAGCACTCCTCTTTCAGTTAATTTTTTTTTCATGAGATACTCGATCTGGACGTCTTGCCTCCAGAAGTCAGAACTCCTGGAGTGAGCAGTGAGTTAGCCCTGCAGAACTGCATTCTAACCACTGCGCCACCCAAAGTTGCTGGTGGGTGCCAGGTTGGGAAGCGCTGAACTGGAGTTCAGTATTAGTAGTGTGCCACAAAGTCCTGGCAGCAGTGGTGAAATCTAAAATTTGTTACTACCGGTTCTGTGGGCGTGGCTTGGTGGGGGGGTTATGTGACGGTGGGTGTGGCCAATTTTTTTTTTTTTTTACTTTTAAGAGCATTTTTTCTACAACCTCTTCAGCGAAGAGGTTGTAAAAAAATGCTTTCAAAAGGCTCTGACGATCCCAGCTGATCGGCAGAGGCTTTTTTTTTCTTTTAAAAGCCTCTGCCGATCAGGCAACTCAGCTTGGATCATCAGAGGCATTTAAAAGAAAAAAAGGGCTTTTTTCTTCTAAAAGCCTTTGACGATCCCAGCTGAGCTGTGCAATCATCAGAGACTTTTTGTTTTTACTTTTAAAAGCATTTTTTGGCCGAAGAAGTTGTAGAAAAAATGCTTTTAAAAGTAAAAAAAAAGCCTCTGACGATTGTGCAGCTCAGCTGGGTATGGGGGGGGAGGGGGCAGGGATTTTTGCTACCGGTTCTCCGAACCACCCACCTCCATTGTTACCGGATCGGGTGATCCGGTCTGAACCGGGAGCATTTCCGGGAGCAAACCTGCCTGGCAGGTTTGGTGCAGGAGTGCCAGCAGGTCAAGGTCTCGCCTTCTGGAGCTTGCCTAGAATCGGTGCTGGGTTGGCCCCAATTCAGATTTGATTCATCCAGGGGTGTCTTCGGCCCAGATGCTCTTACACAGCCAAGTCTACCTGACACACACACCCCGCCCCCAAGTGGAAAGTGTGAGCTTTTCTGATGCTGCCTTGTGCTCTTGGGGAGAAAGCTGGATAGACGTCTATCAAATAGAAGAGGCAGATTTTGTGCTTCAGAAGAAGTTGACTAACCGCTTGCAAACGATTGTGATTTAGAAGACCCAGGAGGCTTTTCCGATAACTATTTCACCACAAGCCATTTGCTTGCAGGAAACCCACCGTCAACTGACTGTGCCACCCTCTGCCACATTGGCTGATGGATGAGTCTGCTCTTGAGCAAGACATCTCCTGATGGCACAGATATCTTTACACAAAACCAACCGCAGAGCTGAGAAGCATTTTTCTAAACCTTCTTGATTAGTCTAAACAACGGAAGCTCAATATCTATGGAGATTCTCCATCATCCAGATCACGGTTGTCCCAAAGTTGCTTTTTTCAAGAGGCAACTGGACTTTCTGGTTTTTCTTTGAAGACGTTTCGCTTCTCATCCAAGAAGCTTCTTCAGCTCTGACTGGATGGCGGGGAATGGAAGGGTTTATACTCCTTGCAGACAGTTGGTCATTTGCATCCTTTTAAAAGAATACAAATGGCTGTCTGCAAGGAGTATAAATCTTTCTGTTCCCCACCATCCAGTCAGAGCTGAAGAAGTTTCTTGGATGAGAAGCGAAACGTCTTCAAAGAAAAACCAGAAAGTCCAGTTGCCTCTTGAAAAAAGCACCTTTGGAAGCTTAATACATTTTCAGAAAAGATCTCAAATGTTCCAAGCACAAGTGCAAGGAAGTGTTCTGGGCCAGCTCCCCAAACAAAACATGGCAAACCCCCTGAAGTAAACTCAGTAATTCCTTTATTAGGAGCGCCGGCAGCCCCAGCAAAAAGTTTCTCTCTCACTGCAGGCTAACAAGTCTGTCCAGCCAGGAGATGAATAGTTGTCTGCCACATCTATTCATCTCCGGCCCCTGCCTTTTATCCCCAGAGCTAGGGTGGGCCTCGCTAGCAGCAGTGGCTCTTCCATCCCAAGGACCGGCCCATAGATTTCCACTGCTCTCCTCTCCTCTGCCTTCTGTGCATCCGTGCGTCAGGCACTGGACCCAGCTGTTCCTCCTCTTCCTCATCAGCCACCTCCAGACCTGGGGGCTGTTGACTCTCCATCTGAGGGCTGACGGACGGCCCAGGCTCCGCCTCTGTCTCTCTCTCTCTGCCAGCTCCATTCCCTCTTCCCCCTCAGAGCTCCCAGGTTGCCCTGATGCTGGCCCTGATTCCCACGCCACCTCCTCCTCCTCCTCTGATTCGGCTGCTGGAGGGGCTGGCGGCCGACAGGCCACAACAGAAAGAATGGAGGAATTCCATCCAATGAATGTGAAAATATGAGAGAGGGATAGAACTTGCATTCAGGGAAGATGGAAGACAAGACTGTTGTCTCCTCTACCAATGCCACCAGTTGGCTCGGATTTTGGCTCCCATGAGAAAGTTGAACGGCTGAAGGACAAGAGTGCGATGTTACAGAAACTACAATCCATAAAGGGATACAGGTAGTCATCGACTTACAATCATTTGTTTAGCAACTGTTCGAAGTTACAACGGCACTGAAAAAAGTGATGCAGACTGGTTCTTGCACTTATGACGGTTATGATCAAAATTTGGATGACAACCAGCATCTACTTACAGGAAGCGGGGCTCTACTAATGAGCACACAATCCACTTAACAACCGCAACGATTCACTGAATCATCCTGGCAGAAAAGGTTGGAAAATCGGACTTAACAATGCTTAGCAATGGAAATTCTGGTCCCAGCTGTGGTCGTAAATCGAGGACTACCTGTATTGTGCTTCTTAGTTTTGGAAAGGGGCAGCCAAAGACGTGGGCAAAGGTAGGGAACGTGGGGTCATGTCACTTCTTTTTAAACTTTAAGTTGCAGCAAACACGAGGAAGGGGGTGGGGGTGGGGAAGAGGAATAGTTCCTTTGGAAAGCAGGATTCCAGGTCCAACCCAAACCGACTGGCGCTTTCCCTTCCTTTGGAGTTTTTGCCTCCCCAATTAAAGATTTTGTTCCGGAACATCAAACAGCAGCTGCTGCTGAATACTTTTCATCCCGGAAAGGAAAGCGCTGCCTTCTGCCCCCTCCTCCCACCTGCTCTGATCTCGATCATTATCAGCACATCTGCAGGTGCGGTTTCCTTTCTATTTCAACGTGCGCATTAAATGCAGGGCTGCCTCATGTCGTGTCGCGTTGGGTCCTTAGGAGTAGAATAGAAATTCTTTTAATTAGACTCATTCTTATTCCTTTCTTTTCCTGCAACCCACTTCACTTCCAGCTTCCTCCCTGTCTCATTAGCTTCCTCTGGTGATGGAGACTCAGGAGGCATAAAAGAAAAAAACAGCACTTGGATCAGAAAAAGAAAAGCAACATTGGAGGTTAATTCTCGCTTTCCGAAACGCTTCTTGAGGAGACTGTCCTTGGTGACACTTCCAAGGTTTGCTACACATTATGGATCTTTTTTTTTTTCAACATGGCAGCTCTGAAGTGATTAAGGCTATTCATGACCTTCTCTTTTTGTACGTCTTACCCAGAAGAAGGGAAAACTGCTTAGTGCAAATGCATTTCCAAGTGCCTTAAGGGGCATTTAGCTAACAGCCTGGACTTCGTGTTGTCTCGTTTTGCCAAATAGGAAGAACAGCTCCATAAAACGGTGTAGACGGACGGTTAAAAAGGTTGAGCAGACGGCTCAAAACAGGAATCATGGCTGCCAAACCAAGTCTTACTGCTAGAGAACGGGGTGAATACTCACTGCTTCTGTAGCCCTAGGAAACCTCCAACACCCTCAGGCCCTAAACGTACTCATCGTCAACTCTTGATTTTGCTAAAGAATCCGGCTCTTTTGAGTTCTCCTTTTTGATGTAAGCACAATCCTTGTTTGTAGGTGGCCTACAATTGTCTGAAATTCATTCAGAACAGCTTCAGCTACTGGACTAGTTTCTGCTATGAAAAAAATAGTCATTGAATTGCACAAGTGACCCCGTATTGGACTGTCCACGGAGGCTGATGTGACTATGGGCATCTTTAGACAGAACTTGCCTCCTTCCTGCAAAAGTCAGCCTGCCAGGGGGAGAAAGTCTGTCCCCTGGTTTTGCACGCAGGGGAAGCCTAGGCCAGCCTCACTTCACGGACTTTTTAAACCCTTTGCATAATCTGATCAGGAATAAGATTTGTGTCTCTCCGTCATTCATTTGTTTCCAAATATTTAAAGAAATTCATGGATAGAGAAGTCCAAAAGGCTGGCCTTCCCCCTGGCCCTTTAACTTGAGTGCTGGGTGACTTGATCTCAAATGTTGGTGTTGCAAGAAGAGGTTTTGATCCGTGGGTTTCCCACCCCCCAAAAAAAGATTTTTTTTTTTCAGGCTTTGACTATGCAGAAATAGGTTCTTATCTTCCCTCTTTAGAACTTTGGAGAAGAAAGCAGCCCAGCACCATAATAGGAGGTGATTGGAAATAGGTTATAGACGTCAACCATTTTGCACAATCCACAGGATCAGGGAGGTGGGCTGGTGGTGGAACTCCAGTGTCTGGAGCTAAACTAACTTCCCCCAGTGCCAAGATGGTGTCACCAAGCCAGGCAACTGCATTTCTCTGCTTCTGCTACATTTCGCCTCCCCACCCACATAAGCAGATGAAAGTTGAGCTCTCTCCATAGAAGCCCATTCCAGTACTACCTAGGTAGTACCTCCATTCCACTGGGGCCATCAGATCATTTTTAAAGAAGACTTTTAACACAGTTCTGCAGTCGGAAGAGGCAGCCCACCACATTTATAGTGGCTAGGACTTCCTCAAAGATTTGCCCGGGACCTCTGTGGCTTTGCTTGCGGTGTATCTTTTGGGGTTTTGGAAATGCCCTTGCTAAGAAGTAACCCGGTTTCATAGCTTTGCAGTTGCATCCTTTGCTGATTCTCTAGGGGAGACCTCCCAAGAGTCGGCCTCCAGGATTGTCTAGGGCTACGCTGTTAAAAAGCACAACTTTTTCTCAATGCAGAAAGGCGCCAGCCAGAAAAACTGAAGCAGACAGAAATCGTAGGGCAAATATTGAAGCTTTACTCATTTCAATAGAACAAGTTTAAACATTTTTTCTGCTGATTATATTAGTCCTTTGAATGCTATACATTTTAAGCAAAATAGACATTTGCGTGGGTCCACATGTAACACTTATATTCTTCCCTAGTTAGACTTCATAACGGTGCTGTCAATCACTTGCAATGTGTTTCCCTTTCTAAAAAGACTCTTTTCTAATTAACAAATTAACAAACGCAGCTCCACTCCAACGTTTCAAAAAGATAATCTACTAAAACACTAGATCATGTATTTGGGGGACTAATTTTTAATGACGTATCCCCAACTTCATGGAGCTACGTGAGAAAAGCATCTCAGCTGCTACTGAACATTTCTCAGGTCCACTCTGTTAACATTATCAGGAGGTGTTCGGCTTCGTTGATCTCTCACTGAAAGGGGGGTCCAGAATTTTGGGAATCCAGCAGGCAGTGACTGGGTAAGGCGTGCCTTAAAAAATCTCCAAAGCTGTGTCTGATCAGCATGAGTCTTACGGGGCCTAGAAGGAATGGCCTGGTCAACTACCCTTTGAATTTCAGGCACTTCTTCATGCCCCGAATTTTCAACTGTTTTTAGACATTCTTGAATTAGGGACATCAACAGCAGAGGGAAGTGAAGATCCTGGCACTTCTGGGCCTTGGCATTAGTCCCAAATAAACAATCGGCTAGCAGCAACTATAGTTGTAGTCCAGTGTTGCTCAACCTTGCTGATTTTTTAGGTGTGTGGACTTCAACTCCCAGAATTCCCCTAGTGAGCGTGCTGGCCGGGGAATTCTGGAAATGGAAGCCCACACATCTTATAAAGTCAGCACGAAACACCATTGTAAGCCATTATCAAGGCAATGAGCAGTCCAAGCACTCTTCTGCTTAACAGTTGTGTGAAAAAACAGCTAAGGAAGGTGGGTTCTTTAGCCGTGATTGAAAAGCCGTGAAAGGTACTAAAGGGAAAATGACTGTTTGTCTGCAAAAGCGGCTTTCAAATGCCCTGCTTCATTTACCTTTGTGGAACAGTGATTATGATCCACAGGAACCATGTCATCATTTGCTTCCAGGAAAACTATACCTGCACTCACTAATATTTCTGTGTGGTTCTCCATAAAACAGCTTTTTGTGGGCCTATGCCTTTGCATAATTATTTATTTGGTGATGGGAACCAGTTTGCTTGAGCCAGGCCTGCTTAGAACTTCTTGAACTCAGATGATTTCCAAAGCTTCCCTCACCTCAGCAGCCTAATTGAAGCATAAAGTCTACTTGGTGTTCTTGTGGCTAAATCATTGGGAGGAAAACAAAAACAAGAACCCTTTGTGCAGCTAGTATAACTCACCCAATCTGTTCTACGCAGGGAAAACTCCAGTAGGCCTGAAGTCTTTTTCTCTTAGCAGCCTCTCCCAAACTCCCCTCCAGCTGTAGCGCCTCTTCTCTGCCAGCTTCCTTGGGAGCTGGGCAGCTGTTGAGCTTGAAATGGCCCAAGTGGAATACGTGCAAATTATATTTTTAAATAATTTTGGGGTGAGGGAGAACTGCTTAATTTAATAAATTTAGATATGATCAGGTGACCAAAAATAAATTCTCTTTGGAAACATCTGAGTAACTGGCTTGTGGCAAGCGAATGGGCTTGTTAAATCAGGTTAGGAAGACTTCAGCCCCAGTAATTCCTCAGAATCAAAGGCCTCCTAATGCCCATCCCTGCAAAGCAGGGTTGTAAAAGTTATGGGAGGATTTTGTTTGTTTGTTTTTTTGCATGATAGATTACAGAGCCAGTCCCCTCTATAGTGCTGCATCTGTATGCATTTCATTGCCAAATTAACCCATTTTCATTGTTGCACAAATACTGTACACTGAATCCTTGCAGTACAGGTAGTCCTCGACTTACAGCAGTTCATTTAGTGACTGTTCAAAGTTACCACAGCACTGAATAAAAGCGATTTATGACCGTTTTTTAGACTTATGACCATTGCAGCATCCCTATGGTCACAGTGATTTACATTGGTTGCTTGACAGGTGGTTCATATTTATGACGGTTCCAGTGTCCCGGGGTCATGTGATCCCCTTTTGCGACCTTCTGACAAGCAAAATCAATGGGGAAGCCAGATTCACTTAACAACCGTCTTACTAATTTAACGACTGCACTGATTCACTTAACAAACGTAGAAGGAAAGTCGTAAAATGGGGCCAAGCTAACTTAACAAATTTCTCACTTAGCAAACATAGATTTTGGGTTCAATTTTGGTCGTAAGTCGAAGTCTACCTACAGATTGGCACAAATTGAGAAAACCTACCTAAGGGTCAAACTAACGAAGCATCTTGTCTGAATGGCGCTGCTAAACCTGGCCCATTATGCAAGAATAGTGGAAACAAAGTTGAACTGACTTTTTGGATCTTCCCTGCATTTAGCGCCCTCCAGAAGGACTGGGATGATGGCTGGGAGTACTTTCCTCATGCGCTGGCATACTGGCTTCCAGACTGGGAAAGGCTGTTTCGTAATTAAAGCAACTTTTTCAGTTTATTGGGATAAAAGTGTGTTTGTTGGAATACTTTGCACCAACCAGTATTGCCACTTTCAGTCCTTATCCAATTGCTGCAGGTCATTCTGGTTTTCATGTACTCACATGAGGACCCAGGATATGGAGACGCCCAAAACCCGAAACAATTAAACAAATGTTCTGAAGAGCAGACAGTATTTTCTTCTCATTTTAGATAATGAGAAGTCATTAAACGTTTATGCTGCCCAACTCCGGCTCACAACAATCTGCCTGTTAACGGACGACACAGACCCAAGAATTCGTGGCAGTGTTCTGTCTAGAAATATTATGACTAGTATTTGGTAATCTAGTTAGCCTTTTTTTGTGTGATTTCTTAGGACTAACTGAAATTCAGCAGCAGGGAGGAAGGGTAGTAATAGACTATTTGCAAACATATTCTTTTGAGCATCAGGAAGAAATTGAAAGACCTTAAATGGCTACTTAAGGAATTTGATAGTATTCTATAGCAGTGTTTCTCAATCACTTTAAACTGGGTGGGACTTAAATTCCCAGAATTCTGGGAGCTGAAGTCTACCCACCTTAAAAGGGCCAAGATTGAAAAACACTGTTCTATAGCATTTGAATTATGATCCAATATTGTAATGTTTGTCTCTAAATTCCTATTGTTTATTAGTTTTATGGTTGCAAGCAACTAGGTATAATTTTCATACATTATTTAAGCCATTTTTAAAGCAGTCACGGGTGTGCAAGGGGCCACACATTTTCATCAATCTAAACGTAACTTAGGGTTGTGAATTGATTATGAGAAGTACCTTCTTCCCAGTATCTGGACTCATTTGTGGCAAATCTTGCCTTGTGTTGCGGAACAAAGTAACCTTTGTGTACTGGAACTATAAAATTTGCACCTTGTCCAGCATTATTCATGGAACCGGTTGGCATTGATGTATGTGGAACTTTTCCATGCTGGAACATCCCAGCTTCAGAAACTTCTCAAAGGCTTCCACAGTTCCACATTGCCCACATATTCCTGGGCATAAAATGTCCTTCTGAGAAGATGGAGCAGCGGAGAGCGGTCCTCGGAATCCAACCTTTGCAAACAACATGCATCCCATTCTCACCACAAAACTGAAATCATCCCATTGGTGTCTGCTAAGGACAGCGAGACAAATGTAGTTAGGTAGGAAATCTGTGTTTTAAAAATTGGCCTTCTGTATATAGCTTAATTTTGGAGATCATCAGAATTGTTGAATAATATCGTCATTGCATGCTGGTATAGTGAAAGAGTCAGCTAGTACGATGTAAGAAATGTTTATTTGGTCCCAGCCTATAACTCTTTCTCATGTAAGGTGTGGTGCACAATTGAAAGCCTGTAGTACAGTGGTCTAAAGCACTGTTATTAACATCTGCTGCTTGCAATTACTGTAAATTCGAATCTTGCCAGGCTCAAGGTTGACTCAGCCTTCCATCCTTTCTAAGGTAGGTGAAATGAGGACCCGGATTGTGGGGGCAATAAGCTGACTTTGTATAAAATATACAAAAGTATGAAGGCTATTGCTTAACGCATTGTAAGCCGCCCTGAGTCTCCGGAGAAGGGCGGCATATAAATTAAAGCAAAAAAAAAAAAAAAAAAGCACAATTTGCTCTACTTGTAACAAGACAGGACCGTGACGTATCTGTAATGACAAATTGAATGTGACATACACACCATTCCTTTCTCCTCACCTGGGTGGGGAAAAATATATTAGAGAGGCAGGGACATATAATAGCTCAGTGTTTCTCAACCTTGGCAGCTGGAAGATGGCTGGACTTCAACTCCCAGAATTCTCCAGCCAGCTTTTTTCCAGCAGCCAAGGTTAAGAAACACTGAGTATCCTCTCCACCCCCTTCTCAACTTTTGGGGAGATCTAATATAGCTGCACTCCCCCATCTGTCTGTGACCCGTCAGCACTTAAGATATGCAGAACAGGGCTGTGAGTACCACCAAAGCTGCTTTAGCTCAATTTCTTGAAATGTCTGCCTTGTAATAATGTGCCAGTATAAGCAAAAGAGGTTTGCTGTTTTGCCAGTCCCGCTGCTTGCTTCCCATCACAATAAAACAAGTATATCAGGACCTACATGAAAACACTGATAAATGCATTAATATATTAAGAGAAAGAATATGGCTGTGTTGGTCACGGCTGATGGAGGAAGAGAGCTGATTTTACCATCGTAGAATTTTTAAAGTTGGTTGTGTTTCTTATAGCAGAGTTGTAGATGAGTCTCTTGTTGGTTTAAAAAGAAAATTAAACATTTGAGGCAGAGGATTCACTTGAAGGTACCAGTTATTTCTCAAAAATACTTCCCACTTAATACACTGGAGTTAGATTTCAATTCTTTCTCTGAGCTTTTAAGAGTGGTTTAAATAATAGTTACTTCCTATGGCAGGGAGGAAAGATTATTCAGTGAAAGACTACATGTAGGTAAGTAAGGAACGGATGAATCCGGTCAAACGTTTGCATGAGCCACCAGCAGCTATTGATTTGATTGCATTTTTGCAAAATACTTTTGCCAAGTCTTTTTGTTTTAATCATTAAGGGATGTTGTAAAATTGCACTAACCTTTAGTTTGGATATTACTGATTAATGGTCTCGGGGGTGGCAGCAAATTACACAGCCCTTTATTCTATACTTTTAAATATTTTGTTCATTATCTAGAGTAATTCTTTCCTGGCTTTTTCTTTGGTATTGTATAATCAAGATACAATTGTTTCATTGATGATATTTCCCCATTTGATTTTATCATGAGAAGCATACAAAATGGATCAATTAAGTAGAGTATAGTGGTGCATAATCATTCCTAAGGATTGTATCATATTCTGCTGTTCATGTTGGGTCTCCTGAATGTTTAACGGTTACATTCTCTCAGGTTCATTAACTGAAAAATGTATGTTCGTGATCATGTAGCAGTCTAAAGCATGGAAATATTTTACAATAAAAATGTTTTGTAGAATCACATGTGAATATTTAAATATGTTAAAATGTATTGTGTAATGCTGCATTTTTTAAATTCAAGTACCAGGAGTCCAGAGTGGGTTAATGTATTTCCCTTGCTTAGCATGAAGTATTCTGCTATTCTGATTTAGCTTATTTTTACTCGGGGTCTGTTAGTCACAGACTGAGTTTCCAACCAGGGGACATCTCACCCACCCATCTCTCTTTAAGGTTTTAGCAGTAATGTCCAATACCTAAACATATTTTAGTAAGAAGTAAAACGCGCTCTTAAAGAAATGAAAATAAATACCCTTAGGTCTGATGATGAACAGAAAAATGAAAGTTAACAGAACTAGAACATTCCTGGTTTGTTTTTTTCCCCAAAAGATGCAAATGATTTGTGGTTGTAGGGTACCAGCTGATCAGCAACCAGGAGACAATTACTGATAGATCATAGCCAAGCTAAAAATATTGTCCGGACAATATACAGCAATGATTTCTCTGAAATGGTTTGCTTTAAAATTGTGTACAAGTCACCTGTAATGAAATGAAACATTACTTTTGTCTTTAATTGTTCTCATTCTCTTTTAATTGTATTTAATTTAAAAATCAATAAGATTTACTATCAAAAGAAAACTAGCTGACCTGTGGTATAAAAATCTGAGCAACCACCAGATGGCAGAAAAAGCGAAGCATTTTCTGTATCCCTTTGCTACCCTGGGGTGGGTATTCAGAACTCTGCAACCCAGATCTGATGGGCATGCATTGCCTCTTCCATTAGTCCATCTATTCATATGTGAGCAAGTGTGAGCAGTGTAATGTTTTGGACACATCCTCTTTTGAATTGTGCCTGCATTTTGTTTACACATCTTTATTACAGTTACGTAACTCCTATACAGTTTAAGAATGCAATCTACAAAAACTAAAATCATATCCCAAGACTGGCACAAATATGTCAACAGTTTCTAGTGAAAAATCCATCTGTTCCAGGAAAAGGTCCAGTTGCACTATAAAAACAATGAAAAATACAGACAATGGTGCCTTCATAGTTTTTATTTTACTGTTGCAATCAGCCAAATTGGCTACAAAGAATAAATAAAGTAGAGGGCAGCAATTTGAATAACCCAACATTAGATTTCTGTGATCTGCTTTATTGCCCCATCTCATTATTAAAACAAAAACTAGACTTAAGATCAAGTATCTATCCATTTAAATAAAAAATTAGTGCAGGTCAACTATTTCCACCTTTGGACAAAAAAAACAAAAACAAAAACAAAAATCCGAAGATGTTAAATATTCCCAGATACCTCCACTTCAAATTATAAAATGTAGAAAAATGGTATAATATCTTACAGTAACAAAACACAAATGGGTTAAGTACTTCAGTCTGTTCCAAAATACTTCTGCCCAAAATGTGTAGGTGCAACTGGATGAACCTCTGTTGTCAAAATTGTGATATCTGGAAATTCCTGGATTATTGATTTGGCACCTTAAAAAGAAAGAAAACTGTGAATTATATATGTAGCTATGTTGATTTTCTACTTCTGGAATGTGCCCTTATCCAATTATTATAAGCTTTAATCAAAAGTTGACATAAATTCCTTTTTTCCCCCTTTCCCAGTATTTTGTGAATTCAACAGGTGCATTCTCTTTGGACATATAGCTAATTTCTATATGAAAGCTTACATGTGACAGTTTCCACAGCTGTCAACAAGAAATTCAATTATACTTCTATAATACAGAAATGACACTCTGGAATATTCTTATTTGTATAAGAAAAAAAACTTAGATGGGTCCTCATAGGCATCAAACAAACAGACACACCATTCCTTTCGTTTAATCTGGCTTTTCTAACATGAAAGGATTTCACTATGTAGGAATGTTGAAAATCTTTTCAAATGTTCAAGGATTATATTCATAATTATTCACTCCATCTCAATTTGTATCTACAATATTTTGAAGATGCTCACATCCATGCCTTTTCTGAAGTACACCAAAGACAGTCTGTTTTTCAAAATCTTGCAGCAGACGAGTTAAGATTATGTTTCTCCATGTAACAGATTGCTTGATCAAGTTCTCATTAGTTTTACATATTCGTTTGGTTGTAGATCTATGCTGAAACATCCCGTCTGCCACTTTTTAAAGAAATCAACTATACTGTTGTATATAGCCTATAATAATTTCATTTCTAGCATGTGTATGGATCCCCTTAGATGAAACGAGAGCTAAATTCTTTCCCACAAATACCCTTATTTTATGATTTGCTACTGGTTAGCCTGAACTTACCATGGGGAGTAGAGAATAGACTCAGCAGGATTATAACGTTGGGCTGAACCCCGTGTTCTATCAGGACCTTTACGGCCTCGATCACAGTGTTGCCAGTGCCTGATAAATGGGTGGGGGAGAGGAGTGGAAAAGGGGGGAGGGGAGGAAAGCAGAGGTGAAATATCCAACTGTCTTTTCAAACTTTGTGTGTGTGTCAGAGTCATCTTTCCTTTCGGTATGATTACAACTGGAGTCTCATTATGGCACAATCTATTCCCAATTCTTTTTGAGAAACCTCTACGAAGGAATTGGCTAAACAGAATAGGAACTTGGGAAAAAATAGTCAATTATCAAGTATCTCATGAAGATTTAAAAATCTGTGGAATTCTACATAGGCATGCCATCACTTAAATTAGCAAACTCCAATTATTTGTTTTATATGAATACACACATCTTACTCAATATGTGCAGCATAGGATCAATGTTTTGCCAGCTCAATTAGATTAAGGACTAGACCTGTGATGGGGCAGCGCTGCTTGTTCTCGGTGGCTGAGAAGGGGGGGGCAGCGGTTCTCACCCTGCCACTTGTGCCCAGGATTCTGGAGGAGAACTGCCACCCCCACGCGGTGAGAGGGTCGTGCGCGGGGGGAAGTGGGGTCGCGTACATGCGGGGATGGGCGGGGGGAGTGTGCAGGGGTCACGTTCGCGGGCGGAGCACACGGGGGAGCATTGTATAGGTATGGCACACGTACCCCCCCCCCCCCCCCCTTGCCCCCCCCCCCCCCGCTTTTGGCAAGCCATGGCAAAAAGGTTTGCCATCACTGGACTAGACCTTTCAGCAAAGCATGAAACTGGTGTATTTTGCATCTCCCAAGCAGCTAAGCCTGTCCTCGCTGGCTTCTCTCTGTTCCAACCGAGCAGCTTCCAATACCGTCTTTAAAGCACTCACTCAGGATGGGGTACATGAGGAGGACTTTCCTTCTGTAGATGTCTGGTGGAAATTTTGCATAGTATACTTTGGCTCTCTGGGTCTCCTCATCGCTCTGGATCAGGATCTTCCCTATTCGTATAGATCGGCAGCAATCGCGCAAGCCCTGTTCCATTGCCTCCCCTTCATTGGGAGAGGAAAAGAGGAAAACGGGATGGGGCAAAGAAGGGCAAGGGGGTTACTCGCTTTAAAAACTGGTATTTGCACTTTCAACCTTGTTGCAATTCTATGCTGTTTTCCTAAATAGGGTTGACTCTCTTACATAGGTGAGTCCTGGGCATTGTTTTTCAATCTGCATTCTGGCGTTATTGATAACGTGGTACAATGATCAACAGTAAGAAATACTAACAAGCACACAAGAAAATTTTAAGTGACCTACCACTTCTCATTATGCTGACCCCACAGTTTCCCTTTTCAAATTTCACTCCTTCATATTTGTACCCTGTTGAAAAGACATAAATATTATTTTTATTTGTTATAAAGGATTTTTTATTCTTATAAGAGTAAAGAAGTTTCTTCAGGAGTTGGTATCCTTCACGTTATTCAGTAGTAAATGTAATAACTTCATTTCCCAGACAGCTTTTACTGCAATGACATGTTCAAATAAGGAAACAGGAGGTCTTATAAATTTGGAACAGAAAGAAAGGACAATATTGCAATGGTTGACCTTCAGTGATGAGAAATAAAATTTAAGATGCACTTTCATTGCAAACATTTACAGAGGTGTCTCTTTTTAAGCGTTGAAATTTCATTACCATCTGTACAGTAGTCAATTAATAAATTTCCTTTCTAAAATTTAGTCCATACTTTTTTGGAGGGATACACACAGAGAAAGAAAAACTCACTGAGTTGCTGTTGTTGAATAATTAGTTGTGTATGTCTTTCATATTCTGACTCCAAGTCAGAAATCTGAGGAAAGAATCCAGTCACATCTGGAAAGAAGTACCAAAATAACTATGGAAGCTCCCTGACTGGTTTCCTGAAGCCTTCCCCAGCTTTCCAAGAGGTTTGCCCTGTGACTTCCAAAACTGCAGCCTGCATGTAGGAACGAATCAGGTCAAAAAAGCTATTTTAGGCTAATGCATTGAGCAAGATTCCAGGCAAAATTAAGAGAACAACTCTACTTATTATCAGACTATTTATTTACAGACTCTACAGACAACTCTATTTATTTTCAGACTATTGTTCCAATCATATACTGTAGACTCTGGCTTGATAATGCAGCTGGTTCAGCCATTTCTGCCAGAATGAAAAGCCAACTGATAGAATGCAACAGTGCTTCTTGCTTAGAAAACTAGTTTATAATTCTGAACATCTGAAGCTAATTAATACCTAGCCAACCACAGCAGAAACAAACAAACGAATAAACAAAACGCATAGCCAATTTGAACCTGTATGAAAGACCTCTAGGAAATCCCAGGCTGGGAAATCAAAATATATTTAGAGACATGGGTACATGGTTTCTAAGAAAATTACATGGATGTAGTCATGAAAACTCCAGGAAGAATGCTCAGCCTAAAGGGGTTTTTATCTTCACCTTTACCAGAGCTTAGACTCCTGTTAATAAGATGATAAAATAAGAAACGCAATCTTATTGCTAACTGATCCTATCTGGATCTAATCTATGAATCAGAAAATATAAAGCTCTTGCTTACATAAAAGCTCTCAAACTATATTAGAAGGACGTATTGATACAAAATAGGTGAATTTATCTTCTAGTTAATTATAGTTGCAACATTTCTCAGACCGACTTGAATCAAATCTAGGGTCAGATGCACAATATCGCAAAGTTCCAATCAGCTGGAAACACAGCATCTTTCAGTCACATGTCACCATTATAATCAGTGCACATTGTTCTGTGTCTGACCTTTTGTTTTTTATCCCCCCTCCCTTACTGAGTAGAAACTCTGAAGAGGAAGGGATTTAAAGAGAGGAAGCAGGCATACAACGGAAATACACATTTAAAGCAATTCACTGGCACTGGCAGCTACGAGCATGCTACACAAACAGCCTGGTATATTTCCCATTGTGTGCCTGTTCCCTCTCTTGTTACCCCTTCCTTTCCAACACCTTCCTTTCTGTTCGGCAAGGGTGGGACTGGGGGAAAAAAAAAAGATCAAGCAATCTCTCCTGTGCCTGACCTGATCCCCCCCATGCACAACAGAGAGACTGGAGAGGAAGGGATTACAAGAGAGGAACAATGGAGAATACACTAGTTTGCCAATTGCATTCAGGGGCTACCAGGGCCATCATATTCCCCACTCTCACCTGCTTACTTTCCTGTAATCCTTCCTCATTGAACGTAGTTTCCTTCTGCTAGCACCAGGGTAAGCATTCCAAAGGGTGGGGTCGTTGAGTAAAAGGAAAATACAGTTGCAGTCACAGGATTTCCCACTTAGTGACTGCTTTGGTTAGTGAGAGTTGCTGGCTCCAATTATGGTTGCTAAATGAGGATTACCTGCCTTTGAATGACCATCCATTGATCTAATGATCAATCCTACAGTTTAAAAAACTAAAACAATCTTCTATTTACTGGATGTTTATTTGCATACCTCAAGATTTAGTTGCTTAATCTGTACTGCCTATAAAACAACTGGAATTCTCCAGCATGTAGACCATCTGCTGCAGAAACATATATGTTTCTGTTATATATTATATATTGACATCAGAATGTTATTTAGTCTTTATAATTTTAAGGCAATTCACATATGTGATCTCTTTGGAAATCTATTAGTCCTATATAAATTTTGCTGTTCTTTGATGTTTAGGACAACAAAAACCAGACAAGGACAGCAATCTCCTGAGAATTTTATTTAACATTGCTGCTAAAAAGTATTCCATGTTTTGTTTAATAATTTTATTTGTTTGTGCTAACTCTATGATATCTTATCCATCTGTTATCTATCTCCTTCAGCTTTGGACTAAATATAGTTAGTCCTTGGTTAGCAATAGTAAATGGCACCAGGAACTCAGTCACTAAATGACAGGGTCATAATGCACAAGAGCACCTGACTGCATCAATTTCTGATGGCAGTTCCAGTGGTTTAAACCCAATGTCGCATGATCACTATTTGCAACCTCCTCCCAGCTTTGCCACTGACTGCTTGTCTGAAACCTGTAGTGAAGATTGTAAATGGTGATCTCATGATTGTGGGATACTGACTGAGTCTGCCAGCCAGTTGCCAAGGACCTGAATTGCAATCACACGCTTGTGGGAACGCTGCAATGAACCCAATTTCAAGGACCAGACATGTCTCCTCATTCAGGAGCGTCGGAGCAAATGTTTATTAACCTTTGTATAATTTGGCCTGGGACACCCTCACGCCTTGGGAGCTTCTACCTTCACTTACCTGTTGGAGTGGTCACTGTGCATTCTGTGTATGGTAGTCGATTTAATCCCTCTTCAACTACGAGTCTGATCTGCAAGAGAGGTAAAATTCAAATAACCACAACAAAATCGAAGTTTCAATAAAAGCGTTTCTCACTTCTTTTGTAAGCAAAATTTGTTTCCTGCGTAGTCTAAAATAAGCTTACAGGTAGCCCTCCACTTACTACCAATTGTTTAATGACCATTATCAAAGCCTCAGAAAAAGGCTGTTTTATGGCCATTAAGCCCTTCTTGCCATCATAAAATGTTGCCTCTGCCTGCCCCCCCCCTCGGTTGCAATCACGTGATTGCATCTTGGGCATTTGGCAACTGACTCGCAATTATGATTGGTTGCCAAGTGCTACAAGATCACAGGGGTCATTTCCATTGAAACTGATCTCTTCTAGGAATGGGTGCTTGATGGTTTTAACCCAGGAAAGTTAAGCCAAAAGTTCTTAAAACTAAAACTCTGACTGAGCTTACGAGGGTTGCCAAGTCTGGCCCTTTGCACAGAAAAAGAAGGAAAGACGTGCTAAACTTTTGCTTTTGGAATTGAGAGTGGCTTACACAGCTGTCGGAAAGTAAGGGCAGCTCTTCATCCCCCCCCCTTTCTTCTTTCACCGGGAAGGCAGCTGCGGTCCTCCAGCCCCACCCAGGAAAATGGGGAAAGGGGCATTTTAAGACACTGCAGCTGAGTGGCTGCCTTTAACTTTCTCTTCCTAGTTAAGGGCCAAGTGGAGCTGCCTCATGGGAGGAAGAAAACAGCGAAAGCCAATTGGCATAGTGCAGGGCACTGAGGGCAGCTGGGCTGGAGCTTCCCAGGCATTCCCCACTCTTGGAGTGTCCTGGCCTTTGGAGTCAGCTGTGGGCAGCTGTTTTGCACCCTGCTGTGAAGGTTTCCCAGGTGTTTGGCCCTGGCAGGGTGGCTGCTTCATGCGGCACCACTGGAACTTCCCTGGCATTTAAGGGCATAAATGAATGGAGGGAGGGGGGGAAGATAGGCAGGTAAGAGGAGTTGTGGCCAGTTCTAAGTGTAAGTGGGCTGCTGAACACCTGAGCTTTGATCATGAGATCATAGGGGGTCTGCAACAGCTGTAACTTTGGGCACAGGTTGCAGGTCCTTTCGTTCAGCACCGTTGTAATTTGAGTCGTTGAATGGTCATAAATTGAAGTCTAACTGCATAGGACAGCTACAATGGTGGATAAACAGAATATCTTGGAGGATTCTCTCCTTATCTATTGGCATTACTGCTGAACCAATGCAAACAACAGAATAGGTATTTCCAAGAAAACTGGTATTGGAAAATACAGTAATAACTGTCCAATAGTTTAAGACTGGTTATATTAACTAAAAATACCAACTGATTCAGAATCCGTTATGTATTCCTGAATATATATCCCAAAGATTTATGGTTATATGGAAATATTTTACTTGGTAAAACAAGCAAATATATCTTGCCACTGGGAAAAGAACAGTATTTTAAAAAATAGTATTTAAGTCTGAATTGAATTGAATTGAATTGAATTGAATTGAATTGGATAAGAAATCTCACTGAACTTTGATGGAATTACAATATGAAAAGAAGGAGCACAGTTGCTCACGTGGTGGGGCCCTGGAGGTTGGAAGTTAGCAAGCCCACCTGTGAGACCTGAGTGCTGCTGTGTGGCAGGTTGAGTTCCTGTCATTCACTCCAGCTCCTTTTTGGGAGCCCCCCCCCCAGGTATCCCGTGGGCAACAGTGATGTCACAGGCTAATTCTTTCAACTCGGAAGCACCCTAACCATACCCCTGACATAAATGGGGAATGGGACAATATGAAAACATAATATAATAATGTAACCAGGGTGGATAAAAATCAATGATTTTTTTTAAAAAATCAAAAAAATCTGATTTTTTAAATTTAAATCGGATTTTTTTTTATTTTTATCGAATTTATTTTAATAAAAAACTTTTGGGGTAAAAATCTATCGTAAGATAGTTTTCTATTTAAGATACATAAATAATTTAGTTTATTCAGCATGAAATGGAGCTTAGTTATGTAGCATGAGGCTGTGTATTCTGCAACACTGGGACTATCGGTGAGTCAACAGTGGGTCAAAGGAGTAGCAGAGATGACAGTTGCTCTTTAAAAATTATGATTTAAATCGAGTTGATTTAAATCAAGCCTTTTTACTAGTGATTTAAATCATGATTTAAATCAACTCGATTTAAATCAAATCCACTCTGAATGTAACTAGACCATTAATGCTAATGACCGATTTTTAAATAATCTATGTTTAAAGGTGGAGTCATTATGGTAATAATACCATCATTAATGAGCATAACATAGTACATGAAAAATATGGCTTACCAAACGATCAGCAGAAAATACGAAGTCACCTCTACTGGCTGTCCTGAACAAAAAAGCAGCAAGAAATCAGTTTTATTAAGGATTCAACTTCAGTTTGAATTACTTTGTTAGTTATCTCAGAATATTTAACATAATTAAAGTGTGACACTAGCAACATGCACATTCGTTTCATCTATTATTATATGAGAGAATGTCTAGACTTTACATTTACATCTGATATCATCACCAAGGCCCTTCAACATTAATCATTATAGCAGCCGCCAATATGGTCAGAGAAAAACTCCATCAGAAAGATCTACTGAAGCCATCCTGCTATGGAATCTGTGGGACTTTTTATTCATTTCTTTGGGCGACAATAAGGAGACAGATTATCTGTAAGCATATGAGCAAAACTCTATATTTATTTTTAGCCCCGTCAAAAAGCTCAAAAATAAGCAGCATAGTAAGTTTAATAAAGAAAACAAAATGGATCTTGCATTTCTCAGAGCTCAGTAACATTCAATACCTATGCATTTTATGAAATTAGCTTCTTTTAGTCCTTCTAATCAGATTTTAAAAATCTGACAAAAACATGTTATCGTTTATCTTTTTGAAGCCTTTATTCATTATTTTAAGATATGAAAAAAGTTTGCAACAAACAAGCTGTGGGCCATCCTCAAATAGCAAATCACCTTTACCTGTTACCAGTTGTACACGCAGAATAGAATGGAATGGAGTGGAGTGGAGTGGAGTGGAATAGGGAGTGGAGAGTGGTGTGGCATGGTGTAGTATAGCATAGCATAGCATAAGATTCTTTATTGGCCTAGGCCCTAGTGTGATTGACACACACAAGGAACTTGTCTCCAGTGCGTAAACTCTCAGCATAGATACAAGCAAAAGTGATAAATCATGATCATAATCATAAAGTAAGGCAAAGGTAAAGGTTCCCCTCGCACATATGTGCTAGTCATTCCTGACTCTAGGGGGCGGTGCTCATCTCTGTTTCAAAGTCGAACAGCCAGCGCTGTCCAAAGACGTCTCCGTGGTCATGTGGCCGGCATGACTCAACACCAAAGGCGCACGGAATGCTGATACCTTCCCACCAAAGGTGGTCCCTATTTTTCTACTTGCATTTTTTTTTTTACGTGCTTTTGAATTGCTAGGTTGGCAGAAGCTGGGACAAGTCACTGGAGCTTACCCTGTTACGCGACACTAGGGATTCGAACCGCTGAACTAGCAATCTTTTGATCAACAAGCTCAGCGTCTTAGCCACTGAGCCACCACGTCCCAACCATAATAAAGTCATCATAAATCATAAGATACAACACTCAGTGATAGTCATAGGATACTAAATAAGCAATCAACATAAATCATAATAGGATACTCAATAAAAACGATCAACATAAAATCACAAGATATAACAACAAAGTTGTGTCATGAGAAGCTAAGGAAATAGGTAATAGGAAAGATGAGAAGGATAGTAGTACTACTGCCCTACTAGGTGGCTTGACATATAGCTAATCTGGTGCCCTAAGGAGCAGGCTTTACCTTGTCTTACATTCTCATAACTCCACAGATTTCAAAGCCTTGTTAACATTATCAACCTTCGATGGAGTTGCGGCTGTAGGTGGCAATAGCGGCAAACTCAGACACAGAATATATGTTCCCTCATCTCAAATTCAATCTATATTCACAAAGGAATCTATGCCTTGTCATGTACAGAGTCAGGGATTTCCATAAAAGAAGTCCTAAAAGAATGAAAAACAAGAGCAGAAGCTGTGAACTGGGTTGGGAAAAGCCAATAACTAACACGTGTTCTCCCCAGTTTCTGATTCCATTTGGAATCTCCAGGAATTTGAAGAAAAACCAGGTAATTTAAAACAGATAACAGTATTTATTTCTGTAGGTGTAGGTAAAAATATTTTTTGCACTATAAAACGCACTCCCCCCCCATTTCCAGTGGGAGGAAATGTCTGTGCGTCTTATAGAGTGAATGTTTCTGAAGCCCCCCCACTTGCCGGCCCCCACCCTTCGGATGTTTTCGGCCTCCGCATGCCCTGTTTTCAGCCCATTCCAGAGTTCCGTTCCTTGGCAGAGGCGATCAGCAGCGATACCCGCCTGGAATGGGCAGAGAATGGGACACACGGAGGCCAAAACGGGGCATGTGGAGATCGAAAACAGGATGTGTGGCAGCGGCAATGGGCTGTGGCAATCCCTGCAGCCTGGAACAGCTGATTGGTGGTATTCTGAGAGGCAGATCCAACCACCAATCAGCTGCTTGTGCTAAATCAGATTGTGGTAACGTGCTGAAACTGACCAGGCTGTTTGCTGCAAAGATGCTAGCCAGATGAATACCGATGGATGCTGGGAGGCAGAGGCAGATTTTTTTTTTCTTGTTTTCCTCCCCAAAAGCTACCGTATTTTTTGATGTATAAGACGCACCGGAGTATAAGACGCACCTTAATTTTGGGGGAGGAAAATGAGGAAAAAAGTATTTTACCTCTGCCTACCAGCATTTAAGGTGGCGCCACCCTCCTCCTCCTCCTCCTGCAAGCGAGAGGTGCAGGGACTACTCGCTTTCCCCCAAAGAGACCCCTCGCATGCTCTGGGGGGAGGGACAGAGCACAGCCTGAGGAACAAACCTCTTCGGGATGGTCTGGGGGGGGGGTGAATCTGCCCTGCAACTTCGGGGAACAAGGCGGGTGCCACGATTTGCGGCTGGTCACCCCTCTGGCCGCGCTGACTTCACTCCCCATTGCCCGGATTCCCCAATGCAATTCTCAAGAGTCGCGCTTCAGGTGGCAGCCAGTTCCCCTGCAATGTGCAGCGGGGAACTGGGAAGTGCTTTGGATTTGGGGAGGAGATTGTAGCGCTGCCACCTGAAAGTGTTTTTCTGCACATTGCAGAGCCACGCGCCCCCGTCCTTCTTCTCAGCAGACTCAACTTCTCTTTCCTCCTGGCCAGATCTGCCACCTGAAACACGGTGCACTTTTTTTTGCCTCTGCACACCCCATGTTTGGAATTGGGAAGGGGATCGCAGGTTCAGGCGGCAGGGCTACATTCGGCGTATAAGGCGCACCCAGATTTTCACCCCCTTTTTGGGGGTAAAAAGATGCGTCTTATACACCAAAAAATATGATAGGTGTGTCTTACGGTCTGGAGCATCTTATAGTGAAAAAAATATGGTAATTAGCAGGATTCCATATTACACTGTTGATTTTTATTTTTTTTTACTGTGTGGTGCTGATTTTTCCATTTCTCTCCTAATTATAAATTTGAGCTTTATGTCTAATTTACATAAAACTCATGTGTACAAGTTTATTAATTTTATTAAAATACATTTTTCTTGGATAATTTGACTCCTGTTTCAAATGCCTCAGGAGAGAATTTGCAGTAGACCAGAGCTATCGGCCCTGCAAGGTAGGCCAGACTTGAATACCAAAGTCATGTATACTAAAGCTACTTTTATTATACAGTTACAGTAAAAGAATCTTGTAACTCTGAAAGTGCCTCTCCCTTCCATGCCTTTATCCTAAAGAGGCGGCTCCAGTCTCAGATGCTTTCTCAAATTCCATTCCTGCTTTGGATTCTTATTTGACTGTTGCTTTGGTTGCATCTCTTCCTCCTCTTCCTCAAGATTATTCTCACAGCCCATTACAAGCATCATCTTGTGTTCTGTCCAGAGCATCGCATTATCTATTTTGTAGTTTCTCTTTACTCACCCTGACTATTTGCATTTAACTCTGTAAACAGGGATTTCTGCATTTAAAAAATGCGAAATTGTGAAATTGATTTATTTCCCAAGGAAGAGTTAAATTCTCTAGTCACTTGCCAGAGTTTGCATTAGAGCCTTTTTTTTCACTAGTACCTTTTAACTGCCAATGGGACAGCACAGGTTGTGAGAGCCACCAGATCTTTCACCCATAGCAAGATAAGGATGTCAGGAAAGGCACTGATTGGTGGTATTAACCAACCCACAGCAGGAGCCAGAACAAGGGGTGAATATTTGGAGGGTTCCCAAAAGACGTTGGAGACCTCCAACATACCACTCTATAGGCTGAGCCAATCTGCTACATACGGAATCTAACTAAATCATTCTCCTAACAGAACAACACAATAGTAAAAAAAAATGCAACAAATTGTTTCAAACCTGGTTCTTATGCCGGCCAGTTGGCTAGATGCGGCTTTCAAAATGATACTATATGTATCTAGTGCTGGGGAAATTAGAAGATTCAGGCAGTTCAAATGAATATAAAGATTTATTGCAAGCTTAAGCTCTCGACAAGAGTCTGTACTACTAAGGGTTGAGGGAAAATAGATAAGAAAGGCATTCAAGGTGGGCTGGATTTAGATGGGTGCAGGGACTCATGACTTATGATTTGTTTGACCCCTCCCTCAGGCTCAGCCTGGTCCTCTCCTACACTACAGGTAGTCTTCGACTTACAACATTTAGTGACTGATCAAAGTTACAATAGCACTGAAAAAAGGAACTTATGACCATTTTTCAGTTACCGCCTTTGTGGCATCCCTCTGATCATGTGATCAAAATCCAGATGCTTGGCAACTGGTTCTTACTTATGACCATGGCTGTCCCCCCAAGGTCATGTGACCACCTTTTGCGACTTTCTGATAAGCGAAGTCAACGGGGAAGCCAGATTCACTTAACAACCGTGTTACTCACTTAACAACTGCAGTGATTCACTTAACAACTGTGGCAAGAGAGGTCGTAAAATGGGGCAAAGCTCACTTAACACATTTTCACTTAACAACATAAATTTTGGGCTCAATTCTGGTTGTAAGTCAAGGACTACCTGTATCTGGTCCAGGATTCCTTGCTTCCTACTCCAGACTCCCCACCACCCACCTTTTTAACATCTGTTCTCAATTGAAGAAAACAAGAAACCTGGGCATTATAACAAAGAACAATTGTAATATTGATTCTGACAGACCTAAAGCTTAAATCTGATTCATTAAAAAAAAGCAGAGTCAGTTTTCAACTGAAGTAAACAGAATTTTTATAGAAGTGTTAAGTAACCTAAAACAATTATCGGCAGAACAGAAACA